CTACTTCAAATCAATGAAATAAGGAACAGATTATATGAGCTATAGAATAAGTTTGAAATAATGCTAGGAACAAGATCTGGGAGGCTTAAAGCCAAAGTTCCCATTTTAAGTGTCCAGCCTTCACTAGGATAGGATCAACACACATTTAAAACAGAGGCATACAGGACTAAAGCCATAATTTTTGTATTAATTAATACAATTAAGAGACATCATACTTAAATTAGTTAACCATGACCTCTTGTCTAACTACTCACCATTAGTGAAATGTGCCAGTTGTTCCCAGAAGGCCTTGTGAAGGTCTGTTAAAAGTTCTTCTTTTTGTCGAACTGAGAGTTTATTCTTTACAGTTAAATGGTCCAGAATATTTGATAGCATATTCAATCTACACCTGCACTCTTCTGGTATACAGGACTTCAGTGAATCAACCACTTTCACCATAAGCTCCCAGTTAAATAACCTTTCCTGAATGTCCTAAAACAAACAAAATATCCTGTTTAGAAACTAAGAATCTTTGGTAACGCATACCCTTTAATTGAACTATTCAATTCCAAACAATACAGAAAAATCAGAAGGCTTCTCAAGATAATATGGATAGTAACTTTGAGGTAGTTAAGTAGTTCCAAAACTCCTGACCTATTTAGGATCGCAGCAGGTTTTACTTTGTGTTTACTTGAAAAAGTAAATATAAAATTAGTTTTCTCACTAACTGCAGCTATCAAGATGACATTAATAGCAGAGAAAAATTAAACTTGTGGAACAAACTAAAATAGTCAAGGGGTAATGATGGACAAAGGTGCAACATGGGAATCCTGGACATCTCTTGAAGATACTGGATGGCACACTGCTATGTGCCTTTATTTTGAGTGGAGGGCACATCTGATTTTGATACTGCTAGGATTTCATCAAGAGCGTGGTAAGCTGCAGTTTAGTAAATACATTAAAAAAAAAAAGTCCAATAGTTTTCATTACGTTGTTAAAGAAGAAACCAGGATTACTGTAGGGAACAAGATTTCCTGAGTGAAGCTGGAACTGCTTTAGACAATGGTGAAAGGTTGGAAAAAATATGACAACTATTCTAGTTATTGGAGATGCACAAGCTGTGACTTTTGCAAATAGATGCAAGCATAATGGTAGTTACTTCAGTTATTAATGTTTTCTCTATCATGTATTCAAACACCTCATTTGAAGACTGTCCATTCAAAGGAACTGTTCAACTTTACAGTAGCACAGTGTGGGTCAAACGCGATCGGTTGACAAAATTGGCCAAAATTGCCTTCAAACTTGGTCAAATTTGTTTATTTTGCAGTGGAACAGCTAAGGAAACCAATTAATAACTACTATATATTTTTATTAGTAAGCAAAATAAAGCTAGTGATCCATTTATCCTTCAAATTACTTAAAAAAAAAAAAAAATGCAGTGGGATAGGTTCTGATTGTACTGTTAATCTATAAATTCCAACCGTTTCATTGTGTCTTGTGTGAAGTAAACCAAATATCTAACAGATCTGTTACATTTAAAAGCTAAGCACTGATGCATTTCTAAGCCTATTTTTCCTTCTTAAGACCACATACCTATGAAATGGTAAGGGTTTTCAAGTACAGTTAAAGTCATCAGACACAGAATCACTCCCAAATGACAATCTTCACCTAAATTAGGATTTCTCAATCAAACAAGAATAAACACTTTGAAAGAAAAAAGTCTTAATGTCCAGGCTAATGATTCTCCCTCAGAATTCTTGCTCTTTGCTCACTGGCTGCATTCATATAGTGTACATCTCTTTTTTCTTAATATAACTGCCTAAACTGTATTTTGAGAACAAGAACACAAGTGAATTATGGTTCATTCTCTAGTGTGCTGTACGACAAGAACTGATCTCTTAGTAATGAAGCTGAAGGACACACAATTGGAGTAAGCAGTTTTCAGCATTCTTAACATAGGACTGACAGACTTGTACACTTGCATTGTGCTTGGTGTTCAGACTGACTAAATATCTTTTGACTTTTACTTCTTTCTGTACTTTACCATTGCCTGCAAATCCTGAGATTCATTTAATAAGCCTTCCACTGCAATCATCCTCTCAGTCAGGTCCATCATTATCTTTGCTGCTTCGGCACTTGAGCATTTTGATTGGTCCAAAAAATCCTGCTGGGCTTTGTCAGTCTGCTTCCAGAAAGCTTCCATCTGTTGAATATGAATCAAATAGCAATCTATTTTCCCTCATTAATGATCTGGTACTACATTACACTGAGAGACACAGGAGTCTACTATGAGATACAAGTCACTGAAACTACAGACTGCTTTTACTACTAATCACAGCATAAAGCTATATTTTGAGACTATTTACTGTATTACAATTTGTGTTGATGGCACACAACCAGTATTTGGTATGTTTAGACAATCTTGACTTTTTGCAATAGGAGTCATTCTGTGCAATTCTTAAAAAGTTTAGTTCCCCATCTACTGAAGACTACTATGCTGTTAATGAGAAAAGTAGAAAGGATAACAAAATTTCTCTTTTGGGAAGTTTCTTTATCTGTAGCAGTAGGCATTCCAGTAAAATATCACTTCTCCTGAAAAAGGAGAACTAGAAATATTGTTTTTCATCATCAAAGCCTTTTGTAGCCACACACCACATAACCACTCCATTAACTATGCTGGAATTAAGCACTTTATGCAGTATTGGCACAGTTCATGTGCCCATTCTAATACATTATTCCTAAGGGTAATATCTAGCTTTAGGCTCTGAACCCACAAACACTTCTGATGCACACAATTGTGAATATTCTGTGGGCTCCTATGGGATTACTAGTATGTACTGAAGATTTACATCAAAGATCTGTGAGTTTTGCAGTTTGTAGTAGGCCATGAAAACCTTTCTATTACTGGGCAAAGAGTGGATTAGTTCAGAGTCCTGATCTGCATAGAGGAAATCCATTTTAAAAATGGTTGAAAAGCTTCTGCCAGCACAAAAGTGACAGACCCACTGAAGGATGTCTGCCATCAGTGAATAACTGCCTTGTGTTGCTTGGCACAGCTTCCATGGAGCTTTTATGTGACTGACTCTCAATTCTAAACAACCAACTTCTTAAGGAACAAAATTAAATTACAAAAGAAACTTCATATGGGTCTACCATTGTTACAAGGACTTCCACTATAAATCAAAACTGGGAAAATTACTAGTGAAGCACTTAACCATCAGCACTAAAAAAAAATGTTAACTTCTCTACAAGACTGAGATAATGGGCTGTTTAGTTCAGGGCTGATATGCCATGGTCAATCAGTGCAGGCAACCCACAAAGCCATCAGTCTGACTTGTCATTCTTTCATTTTTATGAAGAATATATTTGTTAAGCCTCAGAAATGGGACCAGTCTCCCTTTCAGAATATCCAATTTCCTGGAAAGTAATATACTGAATGCTTTTAACCTCCAGTTTTTTAGAAAGTAAGCTAGTTTGGATACAGTGGCACTACTGAAGAGAAAAAATAATTTAAGAATTCAATAACTATGATCAGACAATATTTTTTACATAAAAAATAGATTTATCATAATATGTGAAACTGCTGAAGTAAAATGCTCTGCTGTAGCAAATATGCAGAGCATACTGAAAGATTGTATTGCAGTTATTTTCTTAGTGATTATTTCTGCTGAAAAGAATGTTCTTAAGAGTTATGTGGCATTGAAAAAAGAAAGGTACTATGATAAAATTCCTAAAAGTCATGCTATACTTAGGCTTGAAATACACCTCACCATCTGACAAGCAGTAGGCATTTTCCATATCCAAAACAGTGTGATGCAACTGTGTATAAAAACATTGGCTATCAAATGTTAGAAATACTCCACTGGAGCAATATAAAAATGCTTTCAAGAACCTTTTAAGTACTAACTATGACTAGTCAACACAACAATTAATTAAAAAAGCATTCCTCTTCAAGAGAATAACATTTAAGGAGACAAAAATTAAAAAGTTACATTATCTATTATGTGCTCGGAATATTCCCTTTCTTTCCTTTCTAAGTCTTCTACAGTCTGGTATTCTGAATTATGGGCTCCTGACATCTCAGTATTCTGGAGTCTGGAATCCAGTTGCTTCTGTAGTTCTTCAAAATCCTGGGAAGAAAAAGTGATTTGTTAATCATGAAAGTACATTAATTTCAAGAGTGAATTGGTTTGTACTTGACAAATGAAACTGAAAAAGTGTTTGAAAAGCTGTTTCTTGGTAATGTGCTTCTTGTGACAAAGAGAAAAAGTATCTGGCAGCTTGTAATTACACTTAGTACAAAATTACATCCCTATTAGCACGTGAGTACTGTTGTCCATCTCTGCCAAACTCAAGTTTTAGTAGATAGTAGTCCATGAGCTTTTATACTCTGTTCTAACCACAAATGTTTTAACATGTGCCCAACTTAAATAGCAGCTGTGAGCATACATGGTCTGTTTTGAGTACAGATACATATCCAGATACAGTGTTTCCTGCAGAGTGGTAACACAGGGATGAACACACCTGTAACGCACATAAAGACCAAATTGCAACCCACACAATTATCTCGGTTTTCCAATTCTTCACTCTATGGAAACCAGGATGAATTTTTCCGATAGCTAACAATACTAACAATTACTATTTCTCTGCCCTTACTTAGTAGCTTGATAACACAATGGATGGTCCTTCAGTTGCTTAAATATGCCTTATGTAAACAAGCTTTTTTCACATCACATGATTTTAGGTGTCAATGCATTAACTCAACACTTTTATGCTTTAAAGAAATCTAACCAGGTTTTGACAATGTTCACAAACAATTTCACCAAAAAATCACATTTTTCTCATGATGCAGAAATAGAGGAAAATCCTGTTTAAAATTAATCTTAATATCCTCAATAACCAGCTTTTTTCTTTGCATGTTACTTCAGCCTGAAATCTGCCATATTTCCATGATCTTTTTCTCCAGAATACAGGGCATAGAAATCCCATATTGACGCTTAAACAACTAGGCTACTCCAGTGATTTCTGTAACTAATAAACAAAATTTAGTCATTGTCTTGTTGCAGCTCAGCTACCTACATGAAAACACCCAAGCTGTCAAGCATAATCCAAGGTTTGGCTACACTGGGAAACATTATCTTTTTTATATTTGTTTATAATTTTTAGTCATTAATTGAAGTCCATTAGAGGTATTTACATACCAAATCTCACTTTTTATTTAGTAACTACAATTAACTAATAATATCAAATGTAAGGATTTAAGAAAGACAAGTGATTTCAAGGCAAAAAGCATCCTGCTGTAATTGTCATAAACATTCTGTTCATTGGGTAAAACTGTAGAGATTTGTCATTGATTCACAAATCATGGGACTGCAGAAACAAAATATTAACAACCAGCTGTCAGCTAGCAAGCTGACAGACTTGACTTTAATGCCTAAATGTGAAGTTTCATGAGTATATAAGAAAAGAGTAACAATTACTGTGAGAACAATTGAATTGAATACTGGACTAGATGGTCTAGAGAAATGGCAATCTTCCATAGAAATATTGAAGACCTGGCTTGACAGGACAGTGGAGGCCCTGCTTCCTACAGAAGATTGGACCAGATGATCTTCGCAGATGCTTTCCAACACAGACTTTCCTGTGATGCTAATGTGGAAAACAGAATGGGGAAACAGTAGCTCTCCTATTTTGCTTATTTTCTTTTGTACAGCCTTCTTTTCTTCTAGTAATAGTAAAAAATAGTGAATCCAACTGAAAAATACATTGACTGCAAAAGTATGTCTTCTATTTCAGAAGTGGAAAAATGGATTTTGATGAAGGACAAAGAGGAAAGTAATTCTATTTTCCCTTGATAGGAACATTGAGTTTTCTTCTAATACTTTATTCCCTACTGCTCTATCACTCATAATGATACATGAGACCTGACAAAGACTTGATAATTAGAAATTAGTAAATTTAAGAGAATAAGGTTCAGAATGTTCTCTTTACTTGAGTGGTTCAACTACAAGATATTCTTAACAGATTAAAAACATCACTGTTTTGATCTCCTCGGATAACAACCAAGAGGAAATGAGGACAATGTAATACAGAAAATCAAGTAACAAGACTGTTTTATTTCTTAATAAATGGATTACAAAGGTCATTGCTGTTTAAAAATACAGGGGAGATAGCCTGCTGTGGAAGCCCCCATGAATTGGTGGAATTAACTCCTGAACTTCATTGTCTGAAATATCAACCCACAAAAACTTACATTTTTGAGAATTAAAAATGTCTTCTTAAACAAATCATCAGTAATCTTCTTCTTATGATTGAAATCTGTGAGGTATATTTTCAGAATCTGAATGAATATCTATTTAAAAGGAAAGAAAATTGCAAGTATTGAATAAAACCAACAGAATTTATCACAAAATCTGTATTAAAATTAATCAGTAAAGACTACATTGAAGCATAAGCAAAATACTAGAAACACCACCAGCAGCTCCCCAGCATTCCTATTATGAAATTTTTTTTGTCTTCAGAGTATCAGATGATGGATTTATGTTCAAATGAGGACAAGGACATAATCTGACGCATCTGAAACTACTCTTTATTGGAGAGTACCCAGACCACTTAGAAACAGAAAGATCTAAGCTAAAGGATATTGGCGTATTCAATACAATTTCAATTGTATTATGCCAGATAGAGTAAAAAACATTTATATAAAAACCTATAACTCAAAATAACCATCTTAAGTTCTAACTACCTTCTCTTACAAAAAAATACAACTATATTCCAGATCTGTTTTTTAAGTTTGAAATACTACTTGCTTCAAATGGATGTTTTTGAATAATAAATGCCTTGTCTCTTTTAAAATGTTATTTTAGAGAAATTCAAGAAGACAATTCAATCTTTGTCTTCATCTTGAAAGATGTTACATAAGTGCTAAAAAACAGATGATGACGTTGCTTGTTTTTAAACATATAAATACACTTTGTTTTTAAATTAAATATTATAAACAGCAAAATCTGGAAGATTATTATTGCCCAGCAGAAAATAATTAAATGACCATGTTTTGGATCTCACTTGCCAATGTTTTGGACAGAGTTTTGTGAAGTTTTGAATACAAAACACCAACACATCACATACTGTTTAAAAAAAAAAAAGGGGAGGGGGAAAGAAAAGATTCAAGAAAACACTTCAAAGGAGTTGTTTTCCTAGACTAACTTTAAGATAAACTTTGAGTGAGAGAAACAAGTGGAAAATGAAGAAACTATTCCCTGTACTCATAGCTTTTTTTTCTTTTTTTGCCCTGGTTCCCTGCTAGTAAAAATACAGAGCTATTAAAAGCTCAAAGTAAAGGTCAAAGTCACCAGCCTCTTGAGGTCATTGAGGCCACAAAGTGAGTAAAATCTTCCCAGTGTTTCTGTAGTTACATCACCATGTTGTTACTTTACTTTCTTTTACAAATTTATGACTAACTTTAAGATCAAGTTTAACATTTCCTGGCTAAATTAAACTTCATTCTGTAAGCTAATCTCAAGGTCCCTTTCTCATTTGCTTACAGGGGAATCAAATCATCAGGAGAGAAATTGCTAGGGAGGAACTTGCCCAGAAAATCTCACTCCTTGAAATATTCCTAGTGCATTTACCAATTTGTATCACAAATGACAAGTCTATTCAAACTTAAGAGATTGGGAAGGAAGGTGAGGAGAAATCTATCCAATTTATGTCTAGACTTATATTACCTCTGCTAAAACTCAGTAATGGAAATGATTCCATACTTGATCACAACCATGCATCACTAAATAATTGTCTGAACCAGGTATTCAGTAACCTTTTTTTTGTTTTGTCAGCTTTGAATGCTGTGCCTTGATGTAGGTAGTCACCTTTGGTTTAAATGGGTGTCTTAATTCCTTTGTCCTACAAAATCAGGATGTTCCACTTAGCACAAAAGTACCGACTCAGATGAACTGAATTTTCAGTTTTATTCAAATAGCTTAGAGTCCCTGGAGTTGCAATGCCCAAGAATTTCCTTAAAACATAAACTTATCTATCAAACATATATTTTTTTTCTCTCTTTATGAACTCCAACTGCTATGTTTTATTCTTTGGAGTAAGATTTAAAATTGTTAAGTTCTTCAGTCTGTATTTTACAGCCCAATAGATTTCATTGAATTTCATTCTTTTTGTGAAGATCATAAACATGCAAAATAGAGAGGAAAAAAAATAAAAAGAATACTGCAAAGGTACAACTCTGCTACACTACTCCTCATCTAGTCTGTGGTTCATGTTGATTATTTCCTAATCTAATATTCAGTTAATGGTTTCAAATCAAATAACTCTAAATGAGACATGAGTACCTACCACATGTTCTTCTTTTCTAAGCTCAGTATCAAGAAGCATGAGATCTTTTAAGAGAAGACTGCAAAGGCAGAGCTTAACATCAAAACTAAAACAGAAATTAAAAGAAGTTTTAAAACCAATCTAACCAGAGGTCACACAAAAAAGCAGTATTGTACAACAGTTTCTTTAATCACTAAGTTCCCCATTGGCCCTAGAAAAGGAGTAAGATCATTTCTACAGTGCCTTCTAACTCAGATAAAAAATATCTCCATATAGAAGTAAGGAAATCAAAATAGTGCTTTATCAAAAGGCATGGTAAATATGGGGATGAATGGCACCAAGAAAGGGGAAAAAAAAGCTTTTAATTAAAACTGTTGAAATGTGTGGATATTTAGAAAATATTTTTCATTGTATCTTTCTCAAACCTCACAGTGAAATACACATGATTTTCTTTATTTTTGCAAATGACAATACAGACATATTTATTTATTTAGGAATACCTCACTTGCATGGTGTAGCTAAAAGAAAAAGCTGATAGTACATTTGGATTATCTCTACTTGCTAATCACTTGTGCATCTGGTAAGCGTACAGTCTTCCTTCAACATAATGTGAACTGTTCCAATTAAATGAAGGAGAATGAACAGTCATCTGCTGTTCTCAAGATACCAGCTGTGTTACTTGAAGATGTAAGTGCAGAAGGCTCCATTAGCTTAGCAATAATCCACTGCATTAGTGAAGAGTATATGAAGCAAAAGGGGTCTCCTTATATTAACGGTGACAATATCTTTAATGAGAAGTGAAGTTCTGATTCCCAGAATTTCATAAACAAGAAACTGACTTTCAGGATATGAAGCATTTTTCTAGTCTCTCCAACCAGCATTTTTAGGGTTATAAGCCTACAATGCTGTCTTTTGGTGAATGTATGCATTTAAGCCCAGTCTTTCATTTATGCCAGACCTTTAATGGTTGTTTTGAAAACTGCCAGAGCATACCAAGAAACAATCAGACACGAGGGCTGGTTTACTGCTTACCTCTCACATGTGAGCACTTCAGGGAAACAGGTTACCTTGAAGAAGGCTCGATCCTGAAATCTGTCATCACTTGTTGTTGAGTGTATTGTTGTGGAGGAACTACAGTCCTCCTTGTCTCCCTGGCTAAGGGATTCCAGGCTGCCTGATGTAGATGCTTCCGTTACCTGATTAGGCAGAACTGTCTGCTTTGGATTCTCATGCAAAGATGGATTGGATGAGCCATCTGCCAAAGGCTATGGTCAAAAAGAATTTACAAGGTTAATTAATACTATTCAATCTTGAGATAAACATCTCATTAATTTGCATCATTTGCTTCCAAGCAAAAAATTAAACAACATACACAGCACAAGTGTTTCCACATAAATTAATGTTTATCATCCTGACAGGTTTCTGCATTGCCTGCAAAAGTACTCATCTGATGAGGTTATCTGCTCTGAGTCATTTTTTCTTACTGAAGAGCAGATCTTTGTGTGCTTTTTTCTTACATCTCCTTGGGCAGATATAACCTCCATTAATGCTAATGGGAAGAAAAGGTTCCTTGACTGCAGTGAAAATTGACTGGACAGAACCTAAAGCACTACAAATTTCAGAGGGAGATGAAAGCAGATGATGCCTTACAAAACAATTCCTGAGTCAATGGCCTATAAACAAACAAAGATCCCTTTGAAACAGATTGGCATTAAGTTTTCTTCTGGTACTTGACTGCAATTTACTTTGACTTAGAACTACTGCCATTAATATTTATAAGTAGAGTCTAAAGTCATACCCTAAATTTCTGATTGATGGGATAGATGACTTTTGCCTTCAACGCAAACGCTGTAACGTTACTGTTCAGAGGACACTCATTTTCCTGTGTGGAAAAGAAGAAAAAGCAATTAAGGTTAGAGAATGACAGCGGACCTGTAAGTTGTTCACTGTAATTATTCCGTGCCCCTTTTTGATTATATAACTTAGACATTCCAATTGATAACTGTTTATTGACTATTTCAACTTTGGTGTGAAAAGTCGTCTTCTAGTATTCATTCAGGTCAGGGTATGAAACCCAGAAAAGAAAACTGCCATCACCACTGTTCCAAAAATATTTTATGCCTGTAGGGGAAAATGGGCAATAGTTGGTATTCACAAGTTACTTTCATTTCTCTTCTTTGCTCTTTCAGCAGTACCTACAGATTCTGCATAACAGACTGAAATAATCTTAATAATAGAAAATACTGAGGGATAAGCTCCACATATAACATCAAGGCTATAAATTCTGTCTTCCAATTTAAATAAAGAAACAATAGATTGAATAAAAGTAGTGTTGTTTTCTTTTTTTTTTTCAGAAAGAACTTTTATAGTACAATCCTTTGCCTATAGTCTAGAGAAAATAGCAATGTTCTTCCAGGGAACTTTTTATAGAAAATGTATTCTTTTCATAGTACCTGCTATGTTGCCTGACTTTCTGCTCCTCCTCTTTCTTATCCGCTGCCTGGAACAATGGGATAATCAGCTCTGTTTTGTGAGATTATGCAAGTCCAATTAAAAGGTCAGATTTATGCAACAGACAGAATAGTTAGGAGATTTCCTGTTCTAGCCATTTTAGTGCTGGGGATTTTTGTTGGTTTTTATTTTTCATATGAAATTAAAGAATCTGACTTGTTAAAACAATTTTCCTTACATAGATTTTTTTTAGAACATATCAAAGCACTACTAAAAGCTAAAAATAGAGTTAAGAAGAGAGGAGTAAACTACGTCATTTGTTAGACTCTTATCACTGCACCTTTTCATCTCCATTTCATTTATTTGCAGAAGTCATTTTTGGATTTACTGATAGAGTAAAAAGCAAGGGGCTCAGTATGTAAAACATTTTCTCATGCTGAGTCGCCCCACTGCTGTAGCATACATTCAGGAATGGAAGCTGACAGATTCATTGCTGTGAAATGGCTGGAGGCAACGCAGCTTCAGTCCACAGCTATAAAGCTGTATCACAGTGCGCTGGAGCTAATACATTCTGCTTCTCAGCAGGCATGAGTAATATAGAATTATTATTAATACGGTAATTATGGTATTATTGCAGCGTGGAAGGTCTCAGAATGAAAATATCTGTTTTTCTGAAGGCTTTAACCTCACTAAAAACATTTCTCCATCTATGCTTCTCCCTGAACTGTCAATTTGATAGTAGTAAAAGCCAAAGCCTCAGGGAATTGGAACAATCGAATAGAAAAAAACATATATAACTTCAAAAGTTTGGCAAATAAATGGCAGAAAGCCCTTTCAAATAACAAGGCTACTTCTTAACATGTCACAAATGAGCAACCTTGCCTTCATACATAGTTATGAAGGATCACCTTTTAAAGGCTGTGATGCATTTTCAAAAAGAATGATAATATTCATAAATTTATACCACTGACAAGTTCTCTCACAGGATTTGGACTCCAAAAGAGAATCTAATCAATCCTCAATTGTTATGCTGTACTTTAACTCACAAAAAATGACCAATGATGGTTTGTAACAGTTCTTGATCACAAAACTGAAATAAAGAACAATTGTCTGCCAGAATTTAAACCAAGGCTAAAATGTTTACAATAATGTTTTCTTTGTCCTGGAACCACTCCTCACTGAAAGCTAAACACCAGGCTCACTGGCTTTAACTGACGCTTTCTGCATGTATTTAATTTCTGTATAATAGTGTTATCTGAATTGCACATTTATTAAATATTTCTACCCACAACTTTTAGCTTAACAAGTGCAGTCAAATCAGCATTGGGTGAAAGGCAAACAGCTACAACACAGGATTCATTCTCATGCTTACTTGGAGATTACCACAAAAAAAAAGTGAGTGATTAGAAATTCTGACTGAGGGTTCATTAAATTTATATCTTCTCCCACTCTCTTTCCAAATTACTTTTCTATTTGTCCATGAATCCCAGGGTACCACACTGCTGTTCAACTACTTGTGGTCATTTGACTTCTGCACTGTGCACTGTGTCTGCACTGTGTCTTCTACTGATGGGAGAGTTCCCTATATGAGAAAGACATTGAAGATGCTGTTCTCTGATGTATTCAGTTTGGTTTGTTTATTCTATTTCCTTCCACAGAAGGATTCTACAGAATCCAACTCAGGTTTATATCCATCCATTAAGGAGGCACTAGAAAAAATTACGTGTTCCAGATAAGACCTGATGAGGGAACTTTATCACTCTCAAATTTTCTCTAATAAGACTTCTCAAGGAAAAAATCCATTATGAACCATCAGGACTGATTTCAGTACTTAAGTACTTCTTCCTTTGTCAGTAGTGTGATCATTTTCCACTAGGCAAAACTATGGAAGCCAATGACCAAAGAGATCTCGGTATCTTGATGGACATGTACAAGGACAGTTGCCCAAATTAAATGGAATTCATAAGGGAAATGAATGCCTGAAATGATTGGATTCCTAAGAAGCTATCACTACTCATTCTCCTTCCCACAATTTCTATGAATGCTTTTTAAGGGCTCAATTCCAACACCACAATCAAGACCCTTAATGTGCTGATTAATACAGTCAGCAAAATGGACATACACTCCAAAAAACCCAGCTTTACCTCCAACACCATCTCCTCTTTTGACTTATAGGGTTCTGCTTCACTTTTGGTGAGAGGATTCTCTTTTTCATCACAGTTAAAACTTTCCAGAAGTCTCTGGGAATCATCTTTCTGAAATTCGAAGATAAAACAGATAAAATATAACTCTGAGATCATGCAGAATCGTCTGAGGATATCCAGGCTACTGTCAAAGACCACTCATGTCTCCGTTCTGAAAAGGATTTCAGTATCAGCTGGAAATGATAATTTTGGAAAAATACAAACTGAAAATGAACAATAATTTTATATAAGCGGGATGCATTCTTTTCAACTACTGAACATTATGAATTTGATTTGTCATTCTAGAAGTAAAACTTTAACCCAAAAAGATAATGTAAATTGTGTCAAATCAATCCATCTCAACACCATACTATTATGGTGTCAAGCTCACAGTCTTTGTTCAAATTCTTAGTTAAAAGAAGCTAATTAAAATTGTCTGCAATTGTTTGCAGTGAGTAGAATGTACAATATTTCTGCACACCTGCCATGAGAAATACATCCTGAATGAAGTTTTGTGTCTGAGAAAGTTCCTGTCAGGAACAAATAACCATCATAAAGTATTCACCATCTTCCTTCTCCAAAAACAACACACATAATTGGTCTTTTCTTTCTTAACAAACACATCCTCTGGTATGGACGCAGACTACAAAGGCACAAAGTGCTCTGCTGCACACATACTTCTCTGCGCACTAGCATAGAATAAAGTAATAATGAGGTTGGTCAGTGCATCCAAAAATAGCACTGCAAGGAATTTTGTAGTGGTTAAGAAGATGGCAGCCACCCTACCCTGACTACTTCTTTCTTTTACTTTTCGGCTTTTTATTCCACTCACTGCTTTTTCATGTAGTCTAATGAAATGGCTTTTGCCACTATGCATGTAACTCTAATGTATGTAGAAATGTCTAATGGAAGATTTCTCCTTGAATTATTTGGTCAGTTGGTGTACAAAGTAGTCAGTCTTCTCACTATATAGAGAACTGCTTAGGGTTTGAATAGATTTAATTTGTTACGACTTGCGTCTATCACCTTTCTGGAACACAGATGCTCAGGAACACAGATCACGTTCTTGGGTTAGTCTCCAAGATGTGGTGAACTGAAGACATTGTTTCCCAAGAACCTACTATATCACAAAAGAACAGCTACAAGTCCACTTTAGCAATCTTAGCACTACTTGTCCCAAACCATTAATAAAACTTCATCTGAGTGACTGGGAGCTGTGGAATTAGCCAAGCTGGATTCACCGCTTATACACCGTGGGTGTATATCCCACCACTGCCATTCCAAAGTAAGAACTTGCTTTCCTCAACTTAATTCTTTAACTAGTCATTCTCACCCACTATTCATTTCCACTCCTTTATATATCCATTGTGTAACTTTAACAGCATTTGCAATTTTCCAGGATTCATTTCTTTTCTGCCAACACTTCTAACCTCACCTCCTTCATTTCTGTCCTCTTTTGCACATTTGCAACTCCTCCCAAAGAGTATCTACAAAAACAACTGAAGTGATACGGACTTTCCCTTTTGTGTCATTAAGAAGCTGAATAAAACTAAGTTTAACTGTAATTACTGTAATACTTCATACTAATCTAATATCATAATGAGACAAACTCCAACCCAAAGAGCCTCTAGCAATGATGTTAAGTATAACAGGAGAATTTCATCATTAGAAATGCATACTAGAGAAATTCACCACAGTGCCTGAAGCTATCATTGAAAAGGTTTTATAAAACTTTCCTTGTATGCACAGATCCTCAGATCAATAAGGCACTGCATGCATCCAAGTCCTACATAAAGAAGTGATTAACTGGGGTTGTGTGACAAACACTGGTAGCTTACTGTGGTTCTCCAGGCACTGCTCCCTCTGCAAGCTTAACTCACGTGCTTGGGCTGTGCTATCCCTGCTTTTATTCTGGATACAGAAAGCTGTAAAATTATAATTATACAGAAGCTCCAGTACAGTAGTTCCTATCTTATAGTAGTAACTATAACACAGGAAGAATACGACCAAATTAAAGCAACTATATAGTAAGAATATTGCATCCAGGAGGTTGCACCACACCATAGCTGAGCCAGACAGTGTGTGAAAGCAAATGGTACAGTCTAAGGTTGCCCTGTTTGTTCTTGGGAAATCAGACCCTAGGGCACACTCTGACTGCCCTGCAGTGCGTTCTGTATGTGGCAGTCTTTAGAAATAAACAACTTTTTTACAGCAGCAGCATTGATTTTAATAGCATTTAAGCACCTCAATGCATTTAAAGATCTGGGCCAGAGAGAACTGACAGCTTCTATTCCCTATTGATGTAAGTGACAAAAAGGATAAAACTGTACAAGGCTATATTTGAGTTGGTAGTGATGGTAAAATAAAGATACCATCTATTAAGACAGGAAAAATGAGAAACTGAATCAGAGAAGCTTGCACTCGCGCAGGTTGCATTGATCCACTATTTGAAGCGAACCCATTGTTAGGGCAAAGTACGGCTTCAAACAGAGCTTCAAATCTGCCACTTAAAAGCAGTCGGGAGGATTCAGTGGTGCTCAGCCCAAGCAGACAGATCCATGCAGCAGAGCAGGAACGACTGGAAAACGTGCAGACATGAAACGAGGCCAAGCAGACCCTCTGGCTATTTGCCACATCCTCACACGTGCACTTCAGCGCAGATTTACTGCTGTGAGGGAACATTAACACTTCTCTGCTCTACATTTTCCTTCTTTGGACTGTTCCCCCTGTTGCAGGGTGGAAATGCGTGTTTGTCTCCAAGCGCCTCACAAACAGAGCTCACCTCCCCGTGACAGACAAAGCCGCGGGCAGCTGAAAACAAGTCCCAGGATACAGACCAGGGTTTGGAACACATCCACACCTAAAGCAGTGTCTTTTTGGAGCCGTTTATATCGGTGTTTACATTAGTAAAGCACTGAAAACACGCTGAACAGAGGGGCGTCGTGAATCACACGCTTCCCCAACCACCACTGAGTTCACCACAATCAATCCGGGGTCGCTTCGGGCTCGCACCCGGGCAATCCCAGCGCAGCGGAGATCTGCCTTCCTCGAGCTGCTCGGCGCACGGCCCGGCCCAGCAGCGCCCCGGAGCCGCTCACAAAACCGCTTTCGCTACTCTACGTCCGCGTATCCCGGGCTGAACCCGCTCCCCGCCCGGCGGCCCCGTACCTCTCTCCGCCGGCGCGGCCGCAGCAGCGCGCAGCGGCAGAGCAGGGCGGCGGCGGCGGCCCCCAGCAGCAGCCCCAGCAGCACGGCGGGGGCCAGCAGGGCGGGCAGCACCCGCAGCGAGCGCGCCGAGAACTGCAGCCCCACCGCCCGCAGACACTCCGGGACCGCCGCCATCGGGTTCGGCCCGACCCGGGCCGGCTCGGCCAAAGAGGAGGTTCCCGCCGCCCGTCCCCCCGCCCTTCCCCGCGGTGGGAGGAGACGGATGGCGGATGGATGCGAAGGCTGAGGCCCGGCCTGGATCGGTGCAGCGCTCGGAAGGGCTGCGCGGCGTTCCGCGGGCCGGCCCGGTGCCGCGCGGGGCTGTGCGGCTGCTGGCCGGGCTGCTCGTGGTACTGCTGCCCTCCGCGCCCGCTCAGCCCCTCGGGGCGGCCGCCCGGCGTCCCACGCAGGGACACGGGATGCCCGGCCCGCCCAGGGGGCACTGCGGGAGAACGGCGGCTGGGGTAAGGCGCTGTGCCCGCTCCCGGGGCTGGCGGGGGGCGCTCACTGCAGGCCCTGCACAGACAGCTGCGGGCAGCGAGCTGCTGGGGCCCGGTGTGCCGGGCGGTTTGGCACAGTGGAGTAAGGCGTTCATAGGGTCATCCCCTCTGCCTCCAGCCAGGAAGGCTCAGGGGACCGTGTGCTGCTGGGGCTCTGTCACTGGGTGGCCACCTTCCTGCTGTGATGAACACAGACTTGGAAGGCCCGCAGGGCTCACATGCAGCCAGAGCACTGATAGCCACGCCGAGGCCCTGGGCAGGAATAGCTCCCAGGGACTGCATGGTGAGGCACTGCAAATCCCACACTGACACCAGCTGCGTTTATCTGTTCTTGAGTGGATGCATTTGATTTTTATACCGAATAATGGTGCTCTTGCCCGCTGGTGTCAGCCTGCTGTTAGGAATGCCATTAGTGGTTTAAGATAAGGCTTTTATTTTTTCTCTCTAGGTAGTTGTTCATCTGTCTGAAACTGCATCAGCGTAGTTCTGTGTGGTGAACACTAGTGAATGTGTAGTGGGGGATGGAGGGAGTCATAAACTGTTTTCTACAGGCTGCCCTGGGAGGTGCTGGAATACTGTTTGTGGGGGAGTTCAGGAAGAGGGTGTATGTCACACTGAGTGACATGGGCTGCAGCAGTCACAGCATGGGTCAATGGCTGGACTAGATGTTCTCGATTCTATGATTCTGCCTTGTCTTTTCATAATAAAACAGTAGTGCTTGAAAATGAAGAAAGCAAATCCAAAACTTATTTTTCCACCAGAAAAAAAAACAAAAACAAAACAATGTAAAATGTAGGGGAATGCATGCTGGCGATTTGGCTGCATTCAGTTATTTCTTGTGAAGCGTGATGGCAGCACTGTCCCATAGGGTTGGCGCTGGCTTCTGCTTGCTGATGTGAAGTTCCTCCTGGTGCCCTCTGGTATCATGGAAGTTTTCTGCATTTGACTGGAAGAAAATAGATAAATATTCAAATTCAGTTTTCCGGAGTAGGGTATTGAGAAGAGCGGAATAAGACAGAAAGAAAAACGAGGAGCAAGGACTGTTGTGGTGTCATTCCTAGTTGATGCAAATGGGCACAAAAATCCTGTAGATTTTGTGCATGAACTGTTGTAAAACCACAGATGAATGAATGCCTGTAGTCTCTGGAAATCCTGAGTCATTTCTACACTAATTGCCTAGGCAGCAGGCTTAGCTAATAAGCCGCCTTCACTGCACTCATTTATGCATGCTTAGACTGCTGTTTGTCTGCTTTTGTTACAGGCTTGTTTACAAAGAAACTTGACATTTAATGTTCACCCCATATATTGCAGAAGAGTCATATTTAGGATTTGTATTTATGAGCAGGATTTATGTTAACAAACCATCCTCCTGTGTTCTTGCATTTTCATCAGTGATGAAAATAGTGTCATTACAGCCATTTACTGCACTGCTACACATTTTGTCAATGCAGACAGACTGTTCTAGAAATATCTGGCAAAGATTAATCCTCTTTTAATGTTATTTCTACTGCTGTATATTCATACGCATATATGACAAATTCATGTGTATATTCATATACATAAATCATCACCAGGAAAAAAATTGTTTAAGATTTCTGATGGAGTTTTGTGTTGTTTTGGTGCTCCTGAGCAGTCAAAATTCAGGGTCATCTAGATTGTTCAGCTAGATTGTTCAGCTAATGAGAAGAAATTAGTGCTGGAGTGAGAGATGCAATAATTTAGTTATGCAGGAGGACCTGTACAACTGAGTGGTTGGAAATATGTAAATAGTGCCCAGCAAAGAGCTCAGTGCCTGGTGTGTCCCAGAGCTCAGAGAGCTGCATGTGCTTATTTTCTGCTTAAAAATGCTGAAATGTCTTGCATTTTCTGTCATGTTGAGGGAAGGTGTCCTATCTGAAGTGAGAACTGTATTCACACAAGGTTAACAGACGCTGCAGTTGTAGCAATAGTCAAGATGATGAATTTCTCAAGCAGGTAAAGAATAAAATTGCCCCTTACTTGCTCTGCTGTAATAATGATGTTGTTGTATGTCAGGACTAACACTACTTGTACACAGTGCTTGGGAGCATACAGAAACAGCAAGTGCAGGTCACACTGTTTGGTGAACTTAGAAGATAGCTGTTAATCAGCTGGCTCTCATAACTGTATTTTCTCTCCCAGGGAACCATCTTTATTGAATGAGAGCTTGTTTGTGTGACTGCTACATCATGTTCAAAACACTGGATATTATAAAGCACCAGTTTCTTTTATTGAAGTTTTAGAGCTGTGATTTTTGTAACAATCTCCATGGTCTGGACACAGGCAGGAGTTTCATAAGCTACAGTTTTTAGCCCATGGTCTCTTTGGATCTGCTTTGGCCTGTTTATTCAATATGAACTGATTCCTGCTGCTCCTAGCAGTGGGATTTGCCTGTATCCTCGGTTCTACATTTGAAAATAGCAAGAATTATTGTTTAAGAACAGACTTACACTTAATATCAAACACTTCCACTCTACTATTGTGCAGTCTCAGCCTCGTAATACCGAATACAAATAGAACCAGAGTCCCAAGTGTGCATACTCTTATGACAGTGCAGCAGCACTCGTACTGCTTGACAAGCCAGTGTTGCATCTCTTGCACTAGTTGATTTTGGAAACTCAAGGCTTTGTGGAATAGGATTCTAACTGTAAAGCATAAATTCTTCTTAAGAATTTAATTAATATTATATGATTAAGAAAACAATTGTTTTTTTATAATTGCTTTCTTCTGTTTTAACTTTAGGTTATTACAGATGACCTGTGCCTTCAAAAAGAGACTAACTGTCTGGAGATGACAGGTATGTACCTGTTTTCTTTCTTTCAGCCTGTGGGAATCTCAGCACTCCAAGGAGATGGGTGTGCAAGACTGAAGCTCTGCCCAGTTTTCTACTTGCACTCTAACTTGGGAGGAAGGGAAGAGAGAAGAAACGATGCAGTCTAGTTCTAAAGGCATTCTATCAGGATTTTTACCAGAGACGCTGACCTAACAAACCAAATCTGAGTGGTTCCCAGAGTACTGCTGTGCCTTGCTCCATAATCTCAGTTTGCTGGAAAAGCTTGACCATCTGTACTTGCTATGGATATGTGCAGTCAGCATCTCTGTCCTGGCGTACAGCCCTACAGGGGTAGAAGCGCTCATGGTGTCCTATTTCTGTACCTGTCAGTGGGACATCTTCATCCTGGACCATGAGGGAAAGTTCTCTTGGAAGTTAAGCTCCCCAAGCAGTTCATATAAAAAGGAGCCTCTATGGGATGACCTTATTTCCTACCTTGCCCCGGATCATTTTCAGGTGCAGTCCTCTTTCCCTTTCAGTCATAAGGATGTATAGGAAGCACGCTCTGATGCCCTGTGTTGCAGAAAACCCATGTTACTTGAATCTGGTTGACAGCTTGTTGCTTTTCAGAAGCTATCATTACCACTGCACCTTTGTTAACACTTCCAGGACCTACTCCTGAAACTATCTTTGAACTATCTTTTTACTTCAAGGAATCACTTGCAGCTTAAAAGGGCTGCATCTGAGGATTGCTGCCACAGACACTTTGAGTAGATATGAACAAATTTTGTAGTTTCTCTGAGTCTCTGGACTTCATTTTCTTTATCAGAGATAATAAATAACATGCTGCTTCATAGAAGCGTAGTGGAGATAAGTTATGACATCTTCATATACTGCATTATTAGGGACGAGGTAATGTCTGTAACAGACCCCTCCTCTATAGCAGAGGATGCCATTCCCCAAAGGATGATTCCATAACTTGCATTTGCCAAGAAATTACAACACTGAAGCAGTCATCTAGTGAGATGTCTCTGATTTCTTTGCCCTGTGCCGTGGCTAATTCAAAAATGAGTTTATTAATTTAAATAAGAAAGCAAATAATTCAGATTTTCTCAGGTTTCCTGTTTGTTTTTCTTCCCCACTGTATTCATATGATATAAGCTTTTCTGCTCACATCTTCCTTTCTTATGAGTTACAAATTAATAACATATTATCTACTGAGAAGGGAATTGCATGTGGTTTTGTAGTTCAGAAGAACCTTCTGGCGCTAGACAAAGTGAAGTAATTGGAGGATTTTAATGATTTTTTTGTGTGTGTGTATTATTTGCTGATTGTCTTCCATTCCACTAGTAGATAATTACACATGTTAAAGGAAAGGCTGCTACAAGTGCTGGATCATATGCCTGATTTTATGGCTGAGAATTTTCCCGTGCTAGAGAATACATTTTTAACACATTTAAAGCTAAGTTCTAAGAGGTTTGCTTGATCAAGATGCTAGAATGTTTATTTCTTACTGAAGAAGTTCTCAGTGAAAGTAGTGAGATTGGAATTTCTGCATAAAACATTTGCCACTGAAAGTGGCAGCATATTGAATTGAAACTGTTTGTGACAGCACACAGATTTCATAGTTTCTGGTTGAAGGTTTTTTCAAGTTTTTTCTGAGTAAGACTAGAAAAAGCAGACCCAAAATACCTCTGTGATTGGGGAACACAGTGGATTTGTAGAATTATGTTATAGCCTGGCTTAATTTAGCAAAACAAGCATGAAAATAGATTTGTTTTGTCTGGTTGGTGCCTGTAATTTCTTTGACTTTGTAACAAGGAAAGCTAATGGCAGCATTCAAAACTGCAATACAGTAAATTACTACCTTTGCTTGTTCATTGTTGTGTGTAATTGAAAAGACTTTAAATTGGATCTGGTATCCTGGATGGTTTTCAGGACAAGGAATAATTGAGAACAGCAACAAAAATAATATAGTAAACAGGTGTATTTAACTCTTTCCTTTCCCTACTGAAATAAAACCAAGTAATTCAAAGCTTTACTGATAAATTCAGAGGAAAAGCAAATCAGACTGTGATTTGGGACTTGAAATATGCAACCTGTGAGAAATAAGAATTAGATTGACTGTTTTTAAATGAATTAATTTTTAAAAGTGAACCTGACATTTCACAAACTTGTCACAGCCTTCACATTCCTACATATATTATCAGTTTAGGATTTGTTGTTAAGGTATGGGAGCCTTAAGGACATGCTGAAATCTTTGCTGGAAACCTATTACAAGACTTTAATTTCACATCATCCTATTTCATTGCTGTGTCTTTATCTTAACTGCTATCAAATACATATAAGGCACTGGAGGTTGTAGAAGTTACACCTACCACGGATACTAATCTACACCCTGTGTTCAGGATGCAGCCTTTTTAGTCCTGTGGCTCAGGCTAGTACTTTAATATTGAAGGTCCCCACACTGATGTATTAGCAAAGGACTTGCTAATACCTAGACTTGAGCAAGGCCTTTGACATGGTCCTCTACCACATCCTTATCTCCAAATTGGAGGGATGTGGATTTGACGGGTGGACCACTCGATGGATAAGAAACTGGTTGAAAGGCTGCAGACAGAGGGTGGTCATCAATGGCTCTATGTCCAGGTGGAGGCCGGTAATGAATGGCGTCCCCCAGGGGTCTGTCTTGGGACCGGTGCTCTTTAACATCTTTATCAATGACATCGATGATGGAATCGAGTGCACCCTCAGCAAGTTTGCTGACGACACCAAGCTGAGTGGTGTGGTCGGCGTGGTTGGAGGAAGGGATGCCATTCAGAGGGACCTCGAGAGGCTAGACAGGTGGGCCCGGGTGAACCTGATGAGGTTCAACATGGCAAAGTGCAGAGTTTTGCACTTGGGCTGGAGGAATCCCAGGCATCCATACAGACTGGAAGGAGCGGTCCTTGAGAGCAGCCCTGTGGAGAAGGACCTGAGGGTCTTGATAGATGAAAAACTTAATATGAGCCAGCAGTGTGCCCTTGAGGCTTGGAAGGCAAATGGGACCCTGGGCTCCATCAAAAGAGGGGTGGCCAGCAGGGACAAGGAGGTGATTGTTCCCCTCTACTCTGCTCTTGTGAGGCCCCATCTGGAATACTGCATCCAAGTGTGGAGCCCCCAGTACAAAAAAGACAGGGAGTGTTGGAGAGGGTCCAGAGGAGGGCCACGAAGATGACAGGGGACTGGAGCACCTCTCCTATGAAGACAGGCTGAGGGAGCTGGGCTTGTTCAGCCTGGAGAAAAGAAGGCATTGAAGCATTTCAATAGCTAAAGGGAGCCTATAGAGGGGAGGGTCATCAACTCTTTGAAAGGGTAGATAACAGCAGGATGAGGGGAAATGGTTTTAAGTTGAGGGAGGGGAGATTTAGGTTGGATGTCAGGGGGAAATTCTTTACAGGGAGCGTGGTGAGGTGCTGGAACAGGCTGCCCAGAGAGGTTGTGGATGCCCTATCCCTGGAAGTGTTCAAGGTCAGGTTGGATGGGGCCCTGGGCAGCCTGGTCTAGCATTAAATGAGGAGGTTGGTAGCCCTGCCTGTGGCAGGGGGGTTGGAGATTCATGATCCTTAAAGTCCCTTCTGACCCTGGCCATTCTGTGATTCTGACAATAGACTGATAGCAGAGGAAAATTTCTTTTCTTAGATAGCCATTCTTCCATTTCCAGCTCATGTGAACACAAACCTATCATCACGACAGACTTCACATGGTTGGGCAGTTGCATTTTGTACCACACTGGGTCCCCTCTGTATTTGACAGAAAGCAATTGTAATGAGAGGTGATGGTGGGAGACCTCTCCTCTCTATGTGTATTGTGTGTGGCTTGACTGTGCCTGCTAAAATTCCAAAAGAGCATAAGATCACCACCCAAAGCAGTAGTGCACAAAACAAATGAGTTGCCAAATCACTGTGTAGGGGGAATAGCAAAGGAAATTGAACTCGGTTGCTGTTTGTTCTGGTCTGATTATGCATTTGGGACTGTTACAATTAGTTGGGCACTTGTCAAATTTTATTATTGAGGTGCTGTGCGTATGTGGGACTGAGTGAGTGCTGTAGGAACATGTGTTAAAATAGAATGCCAGTCTTCCAGCTGTTTCAGTTAAATTAATATTTATTTTCATGTTTTCTTTGGCAATTCAATACAAAAAGTCAAACTGCCAGCACTAGTAATTAACTAGGAATATGCAATTTTAGGCAGAGTTCTGGTATATCTGTTTGCATATTTGGTTATATAGGATTAAATAATTGGAAAATATTTAAATAACATGCTGATGAAGTAAGTTCAAATATTTGTCAACTTGATTATAGACTGTAAATGTGTGGAATGTTTAACTTACATCATTGATGAAGAGAAAGGAAATTTCATCTTGGAGATTATTTTATCCTCTCCAATCTCAGAAGAAAGTAAAACTACTGCCTTTCTTTGATGAATGTTTCATTTGGCGTCTTTGGGGATGTTTGCAGCAAAGCCCCAGATGAAGCCTCATGCTCTGTGGTGATGCTCACTGGGGGATGTTTTGGCCCCAGGCTCGACATGTGGGGAGCTCCTTGGCTGGGATGTGCTCTGGCTGAGCAGCTTGGCAGCATGTGGCTGGAACTGCTCTTCTGCTAGCGAAGTTTGTGTTTCAAAAAGGACTGACAATAGCTTCTGTTTAGAACCGCTGGAAGTGAACGCTGTGCAGCTCAAATAATGGCTTTTTTGAAAGCAGCCGGAAAAATGACAAAGATTAGAACTGTAAGAGAGTGGAAGGAATAGAGTACAGAGTTGGTGTAACAATTGAGATGCACCTCTGAAGAGGCACTGACAATGGTGTGCTCTCATTTTTGATCTGCAGGGTATCAAAAAGAAATCTCGATGCTTGTTAGTGAAAGGCCGCAGAAGTCAAGCAACAGTATTTTCTAACCTCAGACAAATCTACTTGTAAAAAAGCAATTTCAGAACAGAAATCTAGGACAGATTTGGAAACCTCACAGCATCTTATGCCTGTAATATCCTTTCTGAGGTGTTCAGTATCTGGCTTTTCAAACAATGTTCAGCTCTCTACAATCCATCTAGTACCTCATCTGAAGAAGTAGCATGTGAGTTAATACAATAAATACAAATATGTTGTCATGAGGTTAAAGTATTCAATGAATTCTGTAGAAAAGCAGTTAAGTTCTTGCAGGTTAGGTGAGCTGAGTGACAGTTAAATATTTGTGGATCAGGAAAAGCATATTTTGTTTAACTGACATTTGATACTACAAAAAGTAATGAGATATAAAAGTGTTGCTTTACTGGCAAGGGAAACCAGGTTATTAGCAAACAGCCTGTGCTGTTAAACATAAAGGATGAGAAAAAAATGGACATGGATCACACTGATTGTATCTGTTTGAGCAAAGCTTTCCCCTAAGTACTAGGGAGATGCAAGTGAATGCGGAGAAGTATCCTCGTAATTGTCATCAACATCAAGACTGCTTGACGTAATGTCAAGAACCTGCCAAATCCCTGGCCTCTCATTACCAGTGATGGAGGAGCCAAATAACGTGTCTGGAGCCTTATGCTGGGAGCTGTCCACGTTGCTGAGGATTGTAAGTGATGACAAAGCACAACTTGAAAGCAGTCATCTTTGTAATTAATAATCCAGAGCTCTATTCAGAGGCAAAGAAAATGATCCATTAATTAAATCGGTTATTATGGACTTGGTACCATCCAGAGGGAAGTATCAGAGTTCTCTGTCACATGAAAAGGGCAGTTGTACTTGGATATGCTGATGGAGAGCTCTCATGGTATAGGGCGTAAGAACAAAAGGTATTTAATGAATCAGTTACTCCTCTTCCTGTCTGACTGCCTTCATCCAAGATGCAGAAGGAAGTGATATGCTAGAAAAGAAACACCATAGGGGCAATAGTTGCCCAGCAAAGCCCATACATATTTCCATGTTGACTTCTGACTCTTGTAAAGCTCTAAGAAGCAGCTCCATATTTTCAATTAGGGCTTCTGTTTGTATAAGGGAAAATGCTTCTCCTGTATTCTGTCAAGTATAGGAAAGTTGGTGTGAGGTGGCAAATGTGTTGGCATCTAAAAGGCACAGCAAGTATGAAAAGAATCCTTTCAGTGTTTCAATGTATGTAAGAAGAGGTGTGATTCTGTTGTCAGAACATAGAATTGGAGCTGTTGTAGGCAGGATATAATATGCTGCTTGATCTTCTGGGGAATGCCATGGCCAGGTGGGACCAGGCTGGCAGCCAGCATGTCAGTTCAGCACTGGCAGCATTCCAGGTGATTTGGGCTGTTGTTTCATCTTGAAACTGAAATGCAGCATGCACGAATGCCCTGAAAAATACCAGCCCAAAAAATATGCAGGCATTTGGTATTGTGATTAAGTGTTGCTGTTCACCTAACCAAGTTTTTCTTACTATTTTTATGGTCCCTAAATTGGTCTGCGTCTGTTGCACTGTGAACAGTTTAAGCATGCAAGTGAAATTTAGGGAAATTAATTAAAACTAGCTGTAAAATCTAAACAAGTAATTTTTCCTGGCCTGTATAAGCACAATTTTATCCAGTATAAACCACTCTCGCAAATAAAAAACATGATATCCTGCATGTGAAGCTCCCTAGGGTGCAACTGTCCATCTGGGTTCTGTAAGCAGCAGGAATGAATCTCATTCCTAATGTTAACAAAAGCCTTTTCAGTGATCCATATGCATTCATACACACGTAATAGGACCTTCATCTAAACATCAAGTTATAAGTGTGCTGTGAATGCCTTTTCTATTTACAGCTGACATTATTTCTTTGTACTGATTTTACAACACAAAACTGTCTTTTGTAAAACAGGAGGCTTCTCGTATTTGTGACGTTGTCAGTATGTTCAGCATTTTCAGTATGTTCAGCTTTTTATATTTCATTAACGTTTAATAGTTGAAAAAAATGAAAATTTACAAAAAAAAGTCATTTGCCAAAAAACCTTTGCTCTTCAGTGAGAGCTTTTGTTCTCATGCATATGTATTGCTAACGATTAAAATACAGGGTTTAGAAATAAGTAGTAAGTGAAAACTATTATGCAGAGAGTGACAAAATGTATCTTTCAACATAGAAAGCCAACTATCATTTTGAAATTTTTGTTTCCATTTTTTCTCTATTCACCAGCTTTATTTTTTATAGTTAGGAGATCACTGATTTTTAGTATAATCTCCTATTACTATTTTCATATGTGCATTTCTTAGATGAAACTAATTATCATGTAATTTTAAAGCTGTTCTTGTAATTTCATGTAATATCATGGCATAAACTTTACCAAAAATGTGAGAGTTGGTGAATAGGATAGCACTGATATTTGTAGTTGCTAAATTGAAAGGTTTGATTCAGTGGCGCTCCAAATCAGCTGAAAAGCAATTGACACCTGTAGTCAACCAAGAAGTATTTTTGTTCTGAATATGTACTGAAATATGTAATGGTTAATTGGCAGACTGGTGCAGAAGCATGATGCTCTTATAATGAGGCCACTCACATTGTAGAGTGCTTCAATTATTTATGCTTTGCTGAAAAGATTCTTTGTGTTGAAAATATTAATGGTTGATTTATTGCTGAAACTTTTTAATTCATGAAATAGGTGATTTAACGTGGAGTATATGTGAGCTCCCTTGGTAGGATGCAGTTCTAATTCTTACTGGCTTTTCTTGGGCAAGTGCTGTCTCTGTTTCCTACCTTCCCTCTACTTTCCATTTTCTTACCTACCCTCCATTGCCTGTTTAGATTTTAAGTGCTCTAGGGTAACGTGTGCTGGTCCCCATCTGTGTGCAGAGCACTGGGTACCATGATCCCTATCCCAGGCATGACATGCACCAAAGCTGTGCTGCACAAGAGCCACCTTTAATTCTAATACAGAGTCTTGCTCTGGTTTTCAGCACTGCAGTTGCCTCTGATGATTCAAGCAAGTGAAGTCCCTGATCTTATCTTGACTTCTGCAGCCTTGGATGATCAGTGGAGCCATTCAATATTTGCTATGATACCCTCATGGACAAGGAAGATTTTGTTCAAACGAGAGTCTTCTGTTAACCACCATCTGGTCAGTAAAAAGATGGTTTGCCGATTCCAGTGTTTATAAGCATCATAGCAGTTATATCAAAAGTGGATGTTGGTGGGAAATTGCTACTCAGTTAGTACATTTGTAATTATGTCCTAGGCAATTATATTCTGTTTAGATGGCTTCAGCAATACCAAATGGTTGTGAAGCTTCTAAATAATTATTGTAACAGATACAGCTATGTGATTGCTTTTTAAGTTCTGGCACATGGTAATGAATTGCATCTGTACAGACTGCTGAACTTTGTGCACAGTATATTTTTGTTAGGGAAGCTTGAAAGCCAAAAGATGGGTATGTCAGTCAATACACTGGTAGTTTAGAGTGGGAGTCTATACAAATTTGGGCTAACAAGAAGATTTATTGCTGGGATAACAAAGTTCTTAAATTTGAATATGTTTAAAACCTCTAATATTTTTTTCGAATTTCCTTATTTACATTATTTAACATGTGTTGCAGTTTGTGCATTAAGATTGTTTCTTTTACTATACAATCTTTTCACCTTCCACCACAGCCTGAAGATGTGTCCAAGTTGTCAGCATCTTCTGGATTTGGAATAACCCTTCAGAAATGTGCTGTGGTAAGGTTTGTTTACATTTATCTTGTTCATTTGATGGAAAATTTGTACTCAAACATTCTTTAAAAACTGTTGACAGAATTGTATCCATACTGAATGTGGGCACATTTTTATGTTGAAATGACTGTTCTCTATGCAAGATGAGTAATTTTGCATTGATGATTCATAACTGAAGTCAGTGAAATCTTTTCCCGGACTTCAGAGAATTTTGATTATGTCCATTGTAAAATACCCCTGTGTGAATCTGTGAAAATAGAAATGTGAGAAAGCAAGTGAACAAGACTGAGTAATGACAGAAGCTTCTTCAGAGGATGTGATAAGCCTTCTGAGATACATTGGTTTAACTGTGTGTGCCTTACCTGTGTCAAGTATGGACTCCTTCTGAAGCATGGGCAGCTGAGCTCTGTGATGCCTACTCTGTCCTTGAACATCCTGTCACAAAGCCGTGGAAGAGTCCAAGAGTCACAGTCAACATACTGAATAGAACCTAGCTAAGAGCAGAGTTTTTAATGAAAAAAAAAAATTCATTTTATTTGCATAAAGTGCTTATGAAGAGCAAAGGCCTTGCTGATTGAAAGAAATTTAAAGTTTTCCATTTTACATTCATTTTATGTTTTCAGCTGGCATAGATTGATAGATCTAATTAGACTGATTATTTTTTCTTTCATTTTTTTCCTCCTGTTTTTTGTTTTGTTTTGTTTTTTCCCCATGTTGGTTGAATCATGTCTGCATTTTTGTCATTGGAGACAGTTCACAGTACTTGCCTCTTGGAAGAGGAAAGTGCATCCAACTTTAGCAAATCTGAATTCAAATACTGATATGCTACATTTGAGGATAGAGAATTTAGTACCCAGTACAGAAGAGGTGACATTATGACCTGCACCAGATCATTTGCACAGAAAGAGAATGAATATTCATTGTACTCATGGCACTCATTAGCTATAATGTCATTATTGAAACGGCTGCATATCATAATTAATGAGGCTGAATAGTGAGTATTTCAGGAGTAAGAAACAGTAACACAGAATATTCTGAATATTTTTGGACTGTGGATTCCCAGCTTTTATATTGGAGCTTTTCAAAATGAGAGTTTGAGATAGTTTTCTGCTATTCATAGCACAGCCTCATGCTTATTAATTAAAAGTTGTGAAATCCTGCTGTACAAGTTTAAAGTTAGTCTGCTGTAGATGCTAGGATTATCAAAAAATAATTCTGCAATGCTACCCATTGTAAATTACTGAAAACTGTGCAATTGTATGTGAATTGTCCTCCATCTTCAAATGTATTTTGTGTTTTGTTTCTCTTTGCTTACCTTATCATCTACTTCAATCTTAATTCATTTGAACAGATGCTTTCCTAGTAAGAGGCAGACTGGCCATATGGTTGTCTTTAACTGTTTTAAATGGGAAGAAAAAGAAGTGAATCCTGCACATTTCCCAACCACTAGCCATGACTGACAGCTCAGAGGATGGAGATGATATACTTTTACTTCTTGAAGACAGTGGTTTTTCAACACTTAATCACAGAAATACATTGACTGTAATTAGGGTGTTCAGATTTCACTTGCAGTTTGAGTGCCCAGTTCTTCTTTCTTACCAGAAATGTGCTCCTTTAGGACCTTCATTGTGCAGTATCACATGAACGTTTAGCAGAGCTTCATAATGACAAAATGTTTAGCAGAGCTGAAATCGTTAAATTTGTCTGTTTGGCTTTTAAAAACATACCTGTCTCATTTTGGACTCCTAAGCATTCTCATGTCTCAGATCATCTTTCTTAAAAGTTGTTTTCAAATATCTTCCATTCCTTTCACTTCCATGGCAGTTCCTCCTAAAATGTTCTTCATTTACTGTGTTTTTTTCATTCTGCTCCCCCATGTAGTTGGAGTGAGATCTGTTGTAGGGGATGATAACACACTTCAGTGGCAGAGAGAAAATGAAATAAGCTCTTATCACCGTCATCAGTGGCTACCACTGAGTTCTGTTCTGGATGGCAGCATAATGATGTGCTCCAGAAGTGAAAAAAAATATCTTGAGGCAAATTAGAGTTGCAACTTAAAGGAGATACCAGTGGCCAGTGATCTCAATGGCAGCAGCATATGGAGAACATTCTGTCTAGGAGAGATGAAACCCAACAGTTTCCCCTCTTCTTGGTTCTCATCTGCTGTTTTATCCACTCATATCAAAAAAACAAAACAACTTTTCCCCCCTGCCACTTTTGCTTAAAACTCATTGCTGATCAGAAATAAGCAAAGTAAAACAAGTATTTGAAGTTATTGACAAATGCATTATGACCTTTTGGCTGCCTGATGAAAATTGCAGTAGAAAATAGACAACAGGTTTGTGATCTCTCTGACAGGTTGCTTTGTTTAATCGCTGAATTAAGAATTTTATTAAATTAATGGAAGAGGAAATGCAATTTTATTTGGGCAAAGGTAATACATATGATATGTATAAGTGTGCATTAGACCTCTGGACTAGTGGAAGGGAAGGACTAATGCTTCCATTCCCTCACCTACTTATGAGTATGCACAACCTACTTCTTTTGGCTGTTCTGTTGTAGGAATTTGCCTCAGTTACTGTCTGGTTCGAAGTGGGATAAGACCACTAAATCTGAATTTTTGCTTTCATCTCACAGAAGAAGAATAAGGCGTAGGGAAACGAATGAATGAAAAGACTCAGTTTTCCCATCTTTTCCAGCTCCTTTATAGTTTTTTTATGTGTGTAAGTCCATCCACACTTATAATGGAACATAAGGTAGTAGGTACAACTTATGTAACACAGTATTTACAGCCTGTGTGGCTTCAACCTGAATTCTTTCAAGGTGTGTTTTCTTGATTCATTGATTGGGTCAAGATTTAATATGGATTTATAAAGGAAAGCAACTTGGGATGTGAGAAGTATGCTCAAAGTCATTTCATTTAGTTACATTAACATTTTCATTAGTTAACAAATGCTTAATGGAATAAATAGAAAAAGTCACCTAACTGCATTGCTCGAGCTTGCTTATTAATTCATGAACTTTGCCACTGTCTGGAAGCAGAGCTATGAACCCCAAGTGCACTTGTGGTTCAATCAGCCCATAAGTCAGAAGAGCAAATAAATGGCAGCTGGCAATCTTGGGAGAGTGTGGTTGCTTGAAAAAAAGAATGGAAATAGAAAAGAGTGAAGAGAATGAACTGTCAATGAGAACAGCTTGCAGAAGAAACATCTTTGTGATACAAAAATTAAGAATTTTACAGAATCTGATTTTAAAGTTGTTATATAGTTTTGCTTATCAAAGAAATATTCAAATTCTGGTTTTCTGTTACTTCTGGCTCAGTAGGAGCTGGGTTTTTAACTACTGCTTTTCTGTCTCTTTGTCTCTAAGCAACAGCATAACATACCAAAAATTAAAGTCTCCTTGAGATTTTGAGATCAAACCAAGTATAATGTTGTTTGTAGGTCACTGAGAATGCCTTCAAAAACTGAATTACTTGTACAGTGACCTTTTGCTAGTAATCAAGATGACAAATTTTGCTGATTAAATGCATATACAGCTATTTTGTACTGTTAATATTTCTCTTTTCAGGTGGATGTGGAACATGACCCTCAAACTGCATACATTAGACTTCTGATTAATAACACCAACTCACTGCTCTCAAGGAACATCACTGATCTTATTCTTCTGGACAATATCACCGGTCTACATGTTCAAAAAGACAGTGGTAACGAGACAAGAGATGGGATGCAAATTTACAGGAAAAGATTCTTACAAGGTAACAGATTTTGCAGAGATGTAGCCCTGATTACACAGGAGGAAGAACATCTGTTCAAATCAGATTTATTTATTTTTGATGACATAAACTCTCCAATTATCAATTATTACAGGTGAAATACTTTCTATCAGGTTTTGTGCTGCAGTTTAAAATTCTTTTAACTCACATTTTGGCTCCTAACTTTGAACTTCCTCTAATCTCCAAGGCACACAGTGAGCTCTTGAAATCTATAAAAGTCACTGCCATCAAAATGAAACAGAGTCTTTCATTATGGTATTTGTTCATTTTTGGATATATTTAAAAGGTGCCTTGCAAGCAATTTTAGTCATATCTGACAAATATTTCTTATATATCTAAGCTAAAAAATTGAAAATTAAGTGAACACATTACTTTAAAACTATGGCATATTGGCTTGCTTGGATAGATTGGAATTACAAAAGACAATGCAAGTCAGCAAGATGATTAATCAGAAAGAAGACAGCTCTACTCTCCCCAGATTGGAGCAAATTGTAAAATTGAAGCAATAGACCAAAAAAGACATTCCAGTCTTGGAGTTATTACGTTCCCTAAGTAGCAGCTGGATCATTGCACATTCATAAAAACTTGTCCTTCCTTTTGCTAAGCACATGTGCAAGAGTTGGAAGATGTGCACAGAAAATTAACTGTTTGCTTTTTACCTGTTTCTAGTGGAAGTCTTATCTAGGTTTTTTTGTTGTGTTTTATGAGTGAAAAATTTCCAAAGAGGACAGGAAAATCAGTAGACCAAGGTTGTTGTCTAATCAACAGGGATTGCTAGACTCCATTTCTGAAAAAAAAAACAATTTCAGAAGATATAGTGATAATGGGGCAAGGAGTTGCTGGCTGTCATTTTTAAGAACAGGCGATCCTAAAAAAGAATAATTTCTGAGAAAAGAAGAGAAAACGGACTTGCAAATCTGTTGCAGTAAACCGCGTTGCTGCAGTTATTGAAGCTACTGAATCAGGAAATGAATCTAACTGAGTTAGAACATAAAGGTTATGCTATATAAGTCCGACGTGCTGTATTAGCATGACATATTGTCATGCTGCATGTTAACTAGAATGATTTTCCTGTGGTCCAGTGCACTGCGAATAAAAATGAAGCTGAAATCTCAGTCAGACTCTTCTGTTTCAATGGGAATAGAACCAACAAGTTAATGGTTATAGTGCAGAGCATTCATCTGATTTAAAAAAATAAAAATAAAAAATTTAGTTGTCTAAACATGATGCTTTTCAGTAGCTTTAAGCATTATTTTATGCAGTTTCCAGATTCTGTAGAAAATTTGCTTGAGTTAGTAGAGGCAGTGTGTATAAAGGATGTTGCCAGGCCTATGTTTGCCAAGGACTGGCTACTCTGGATGTGGGGGATTTGCTGTATTGGAAAGGAAAAGCTACAGTGCTTTCCAAGGTCTTCCCTGGGGATATTTGAGAAATTTTCCAGAGATGGAGTAAATTTATCCACATTCTTCTTCTCTAGTATGCTGATAGGCTCAAGATGCATTCCCCTTCTGAGGGGTGTTGTGAACTTACTGCAGCTAGGCTCCTAAGAGAGTACCTCCGCTGGCGAGGAAGCACAGTCTAGAGGAAAACCTAAACTCCAAAATGTTTTATTCATATTAAACTTGCTTTCCATATTTTGCAAACATCTATAACTGCAGCTGAGCTCAGCAGGGTGCTCAGTTCTTCAGAGAATCACACCCAGTATTGCATATAAAGAAGATATGCAACTCTGCTGGGTTATTTTTAAGTCAACACAGCTACTGTTTGAAAATTCAGATGCTATTACTGAGAGGCCAGTATTTTACTGCTAGATGTATATCATGTATTTAATCTACACACGCTTTTTTTTCTCTCTCTTCTAACAGTTGGGGAATATTTTGCAATCAACTATACTGCAATTCTTGATGCAAAGAAAACATGGAATGGTAGGGTCTTGACACTGCCTGCACAGCTGACTTTCAGGAGTTTGTCACAGGTATTTGCTGTACAATTTTATTTTGCTCTTCTTAGTTTCTGTAAAGAAACACTTAGGAAGCAATACTTGTCTGCATAAGCAGTGAGACCTGTGGTGAAGCCAGTATGTATGGAAATGAGGTTCTGAGGCTCCCCAGTTGTGTACCATACATTTTTAAATACACAAATTATTTGTCATAGCTTGGGAAGTTTTAGGCATCCTTTATGTAAATAATGCTTTTGATGTGTTGTCCTGTAGCATTTCTCACTACTTTTTGTATTTCTTCCCATTTGACCTATGTACCCTGAAAATGTGTTGCACGTCCATGTGAGCTTTTTCTTGGAGTCTGTGAGGGATTGAAAGTTTTGCCATGTTTTTATCAGAAAATAATTTCTTTTCACCAAAACCACTGTTTAAGTTTGAGAGATTTGAGACCTTTGAAGAGAGGAGCTGGGGATTTTCCAGCCTTGGTGATTTTTGGTGCAACTCAGTTGCACCAGACTCTGAAACAAGTGATCTCATACAAGAATTAGCCTGAGTAGGAAGAAGGACTAATGACTCAGGAGGAATAGTTTCTTCCAAAGTAACCATTTCTCATTCTTAAACATGGCTTGTTTAGTTCCCTGTGGTTTATATAAATGCATGTAGTCAGAACCTCTGGATATATTTTCATTTGCAGCTGCTGTATCTCCCATGTTTTAGAGGGAAAAAATGATGGTTGCACATGAGGGTGTACTAGCGTGGCAAAGAGACTCATGAATCAGGGAAGCATAAAAGTAAAGGACGTTTAGTAGAACTGATGGATATTTAGCAGAACTGATAGATGTGAGTTGCTAACCTTGATCCCCACAATGCATATGCAGTAGCTTAGAATCCTGTTCTTTGCACTTTCTGTCAGTCCAGATTTTATATGTACAGAAAAATGTAATTCTGTGAGCACTGGAGAAAGCCTATGCGTGGTTAGAAAGGGAATGGATTGCACAGAGCATTGTTACCATTACACTCTCATGTCAGATTTATTTCAGCTTTATGCTTAATGAGAAGTATAGCTTTTTTTTCTAAGGAGAAGCTTTTGTAGAGATTCTAGACTGTTTGAAAGTGTTATCAATTGGATTCTGCTCATTTTTAATACTTGTAATATTTTTCTCAGAATCAAACAGATCTTGTATCGTTGACCACATTGTTCACAATAACTGAAGAAGAAAAGACCGAGGTAAATGCTATAATTTTACATTACACTGAATCCTCTTCTTAAACTTGGATAATTTAAACTAAATCCTAGGGGGCTAAGGATATACTTATGTACTTAAATCTCATTACTCTTAGCAAATGGTTATTAATTATAGACTAATTCTACCTTCTCTGATTTTAAGGAGAAGAAAACAGTGAAGCTTTGTTGTCTCAAAGCATCAATATTTAGTATGGAAAATCTACAAAGTTCCTTTATATTCCTAGCCGTTTTTTTCATTTGAAGCATTGTCCAGCTACAGAGAACTGTAATGGGTAATTTGTTCACCTGCTCTTGGGCATAGCCACCATGAGAAAGCTTTTGCCTTTTCCAAAGCTGTCCTCCACCTATTGACAAATGGTTATGTATCGTGGTGAAAAAGGTGAGATGTACTGTAATTTGCCCATAGCTTCAACTGTTGTAAATGCTCCCATGTTCAGATTTTATTTACTTAAAATTATGTGGTGAAACCAATACATGTATGCGACCAAGTAAATACTAAATGTTGACTTTGGGTCTAGAATGATGAACTACTTGCACAGTCATGGCAGTGCCATGCTAAGTTAAGCTTGTCAGCTTTCATGTGGTTTAATTGCACACTTTTGTTGTGCTGTTCTTGAAAGCTTTACAAACCCTGTGAATTCTTTTTTCTGCATTGCTGAATGGAAGTGCTTGGTTGCCTGTGACAAGGTAATGTGGGCTAGAAAGACACATGAACATTACTTATTTGTGTGTTCTTGCCAGATGTCTCCCACGCTGCTTCAGGGGCAGTGAGTACTGCATGGCTCTGTCCTTAGCTGGGTGTTTTTGGCGCTGAATAGGAAGATGTAGTGAAAAGGGCAAGAACAATTTCTCCTGACTACATTGCATGGACTGTGTGATAGTGAATACTTTGATCCAATTTTTGTCAGGCTTTTTTCTCTTAAATCAATGGGAGTGCAGTAACTTTCCAGAGAACGTCAGGCCTCTAATGTCTGTTTGCTTCACTTAAGAAATTAGCTGTGCATGTGAAAGTCAGCCTTCATTGTGACACTGGTCCTCTTCCATGGCTTATAGGGGTCTCTGACTTCCCCTGCTGCAGCATCTGCTGCAGTGCTTTTGGCATTATAGCCTGTTGTGGCTCTACCGTATCCAAGGAAGTAGACTGTCCATGCAATGCTCCTTTTACTCAAGTGTATATCCAAGGAAATTGACTGTCCATCTACTACTACTGAAGTGTAAAAGCACAGGTAATTGTGTATCCAACAACTTTTCCACAAGAGCTTAACCTCTTGTGGACAGCTTAACAGAACTGTCTGCCCTGATACAGACTGTCACACTGTGGGTCTCAGCTTTTACTTACAAAGCACAGAGTAATTCCTTAGCCAGTATTTTTTCACTGCCAAATCTTTAACAAGCTTCTTTTCAGCTTCGCCAGATTTCTGCTTTTTGTAAAAGCCTGGATAGGTATCTAAATTTCAGAGTGCTTGGAAATTAGACAAACACAAGTGGTTTAAGGCAAAGCAACAGTGGTTCCTAAGCAGCTTTTCTTTTTTTTTTCCTACTATATATGGCATCTCTTGTTCCTCGAAAGTAGTGGAACTTCAGGCAGAGCCTTGGTGTCGCATAGTTTGATAAGAACCATTGTGGGATGTCCTCTTTGGCCATCCAGGATAACTGGAGAAGCTGAGGAACAGTTAAGAACTGTAGTTTTCTCAAGTCACACATAGATGTTGGTTAGCGACGTTGAAGAGATATGGGCTGGAGAGGCAAAACCTTTTAAATCTATGGAGGGAATAAACAGCAGCTTAGAGAAGAACTTAAAAGTTAAATCTTTCAAATAAATTTAAAGATGAAGATATTTTGTTGCCAAGTGATTTGGCATGATGCTGGCTCCCCTTCTTTAAGTTTTTACTCTTCAAAGTTTTTGTAAAGAAAAGTTCTAACTGAACTTCTGACAAGGAACTGAGAGGCAGCATGGAGTTAGAAGAGGAGTGAGCTGTTAACAGCACTGCTGTGGATGTGCAAAATGTCCTTCCTGGTCATCCTTATTGATACAGGGGAGCTTAACTGAAGCAGTTGGACTAAGAAACCAATTTCTTTATTGTTTTTATTTGAAATTTACAAATACTGATGAGTATTAAGAGGAATTCAGTGCATGGCTTACTCAGATAAATGCTTTGTACCAAAAGATTTTATTGAAACTTGAAGTGCTTCAGAGGATTCATTATTTTATATTAAGTTTTATTTTTCAAAATAAATAAAAACAAACCAATGAGTGAATGCTGAGTGTCTCCAGCATCTTTGGGGAGCTGAGCCAAACAACGTCTGACATAAGGGAGTTCATTTCATTTATTTCAGTGTTCAAAAACATGTATCAGAGACAGAATAAGCAGGCATTAAAAGGACAAAATTCTGCTGTTGAAGTGGAATACATTGTTTTTGAACTGCTGACCACATCTGACTGTTGCCTCCTATGTGGAATTTCTATTGATTGCATGGAATGCTCTCAGCTTTTTATTTTAAAAGATGACCAAGCACTGCTTGTAAGAGGCATGTTAATTATTTACACTACCCTCAGCAAAGTGATTATTTTGTGGTGAAATATTATACTAGTAGCTATGCTGCTTTTTCATCCAAACATCTCAAAGAACTAAACAAACAATGAATTAGCTTTTGCTACATGAAGCATGAAATAAAACTTAATTTTTAATGTGCTTCCATTTAAAGATTAAATTAAGGCCTAAAGTGGAAGGCAGGCCTACAATGATATTAGCTGACTTATAGTTCCAGTGCTTCTGCTATTACTAAGTCTGCAGAAACTGTAAGGATGTGCAGGCATCAGGTGGTTGTCAGTTGTCATTTGCTTATTCATTCTGAATTCGTACTAGTGTTTTATCCCTGCATTTTTATTGAAACAAGAAATGACTATTAGTTTTTGGTAGCTGACATTAGACTGATTTTTCTAAGGCTTTGAGCATCATCAAATGCCACTAATTTCAGTGAGACCTGGGAGATTCTGGCAATGCTATTAAACAGACTTTAGGTACAGTCCACCCAGAAGTCAAAGCACTTATAATTCAATCTGTTACTTGGGATTACAGAGGCATTTGAACTAGTTGGATGTATGTATGGCATGTAGGCTTCAAAATCTATGGAAAGCAGGCACTACTAATATTAATAAAATTAATGTTAATAAAAATTAGTACTTGTAGTGCTGAGTAAGCCTGATGTTGTATGAAGCCATTTAAACGTAATTTACTATGTTGCATACAGCTGTAATCTTTGAGTATTATCTTTGTATATATGTAATGTGGTATTTTCATTTCAGGTCTCCTACAGCCATGCTATCCATGCTTCAGGCTTCTTCATTGCTTTTTTTGTTTCCCTGGTATTGACGTGTGCTGTTTTCTTCATTCTTTACCGAACCCAATTACTAAGATGGGGTTTCTGTAGTAAAAACCAGGTGAGTCATATGTTCTCTAATAGTGTCTTATTTAATTTTGTTATTGATCAAATCTTGTGATACAAGGACTACAGATTACCTAAAGAGTTTTTGAAGATAAATAAAAAGGTACCAAGTGCTGGATTGGATTCACAGCTAGTGTAATGTCTTCAACCCCTAATCTTTAGCACAGTCAGATTTTGAGGGGATATAATAATGATCTGATCAGAAGAACTGCTGGCAATACCTGGATGTTAAGCTTCAGAGTGGAGCAGTACTAGCCTTGCATTTGTTTTCATCTTCCTCCTTATTTTCATCATTCCCTTTTCTCCCATAATGAGAGGCAGAAAGTCTCTGGAGTAGCAGCAGATTTGGATCCAAATGGTATTTATGATTATCAGGAACAGACAGGGGTTTTAATCTGGATCTCTTAGTTCTTTGGATTTGCATTAGTCTCTTGAGTTGGGTTTGAGGAAAGAGCATTTATAGTGTTCTTTATTTAGGCTGTGCCAGTTTGTAGAAAGTATTCCAGTACATACTGGGCCAGAGAGAGAAAATGCAGAGTCTGATGAATATTCATCACATTGGCCCAAGTTTCATTCACTCATTTTATTAATTATTTAGATATTTATGTGAAATGGTACAACTTCAGTGGGAAGGAGCTAGAGAACTCAGTCACTATGCAGTGATGAGAGCAGTCTTATAAGAGAAGGAATGCTTAGAGATTTGAACCCATCCTCTGTTCATTTGGTGATGGATCACCTAGTGGGCTACTGGGTCAAGTGGGCAGCATCCCTCTGTCTTTTGCTATTTCAGCTGGGCTTGGTCTAAATATGGTGGGCTAGGATGGCAGTAAGGATACAGGTGAGAGAATACCAGTCATTTGAGAATCCCTGCTGGTGCTTTGGGCAGTATAAAGTGTGCTGGCTGGTGCTATCAAATTCAGATAATAAAGATGGAAATTTTAACTGGTAGCTATGTTGTTAACTCTGTGTTTGAATTTCAGTTTGATTTTTTTTTTTCTTTAGTGATCTCATTTTTCAAACACCCAGAAAGCTTTAATTTGTAATCCATAATGAAAATGTCTGTTTAAAGGTTTTTAAAAAAATTCCAAGATAAATGTAAAGATTTGGCTGAAATACAGTTGTGAGCACATTTATGTGGGCTGTCTGGTGAGCAGTTTAAGACTTTATTCTTCCTATGCCAACTAACTTCAAACCTCAGAAACCCTTTATATGCATTTTTTGGGATACTGCTGTGATGTGGCACGTGTGGAGGCAGTCCAGGGAGAGCAGTGGGAAGCACTGCAGTTGGGTATTTCAGAGTGTGTTTCAGAGACTAGAGTAGTCTCACTGGAAATAATTTATTTTGGGACTAAGTGCATGGAATTTACTTTATTCATCTGTATCAGATTCAAATAATCATAGAATGGCTTACGTTGGAAGGGACCTCAAATATCATCTAGTTCCAACCCAGTGCTGTGGCCAAAGATGCCACCTACTAGATCAGGCTGCCCAGAGCCCCATCCAGCCTGGCCTTGAACACCTCCAGGGATGGGCTTCCACAACTTCTCTGGGCAGCCTTTTCCAGCATTTCACCATCCTCTGAGTAAACAATTTCTTCCAAACATCTAACTGAAATTTCCTCTTTTTTACCTTAAAGCCATTCTCCTTTGTCCTATCACTATATTAGACCATGGTAAAAGCTGGTCCCCCTCCTGCTTATAAGCTCCCTTTAAGTACTAGAAGGCCACAGTGAGGTTTCCCCATATGTATTTTCTTTGTAGTTTAAATTCTTTGGACAGTTTACTTTGTCATTATTTTCAATAAGTGGGAAAATAAGGTGAATTACATTTCTTATAGATTTGCAGTAATAGTTCTGTCTGATCCTGTGCAGAGGAGATCTCGTATCAGACAGGTGGATGAACCAAATCACTTCCTGGCTCTCTATGGTTGAAAATTACTGTTAATACATTAATGTTTTTTATTTTTCTTAGGTGTGAAGAAATAATGCCTTTAAATAAAAAAGTCTTGTATTGTTTCATTTTTACAGAAAAAAAAAAAATTAATAAAAAAAACATTTTTTTATTAAAAAGGGACAATTTGTTCCTAGCATCAGATATTTGCAGCATTTTGTTGTGTATTATTAGACCTCAGCCTCAAGGGTGTCTCACTGACCTGTGAACTATCTGACTCACTTCTATCATTCATAGGATTGATATTTCATTTTGTTCACCTTATTGTAGTGTAATCTTCCCATACCATGGTAGTTTGTTAAAAATTGTCATAGAAAAGTTTATAGTAGAAAGTAATCTCCTAGAGGGCTCTTGTAAGCATACTAAAGTCTGCTGTCCTTTTTTGCATCGATTTCTTCATTTGTATTCCTGATCTATAAGTACATATATTTTACATCTGATATATAAAAAGCTCAGCCTGAAAGAAAGGTGATATATTTGATCCTAGATATGTATTTGAAGTACACAACCTTCTTATACCCTTGCTACGTGTCCAATATGATGATAGGCTGGAGTCTTTCCAGTAACTCAGGGTTACCTGTAATAAGATTAGATCAGACTCTCACTGTAACTTTTTAAATAATCTGAAGCTTACTTTTTTTCTTTCTTCTTTTTTAGGAAATACAACATGAACTCAGTCAAAATCACAAACTGGAGCATTCTCACTTCAATTCAGGTGACCTGTTCAGTGAAGATGTAATTATGAATGACCATATCATTGATATACTGACCTTTGAAGAATCAGGGAATATGCTTCAGGCTTTAGAAGAGTAAGAATTCCTCCTGTTACATCATGTTTATCACATGTATTATAAGCTAATCTTTTGAGCATGATTTGACTATCTGCCTTTTAGTTGTTTTTGTAGCGTCTGTTCATGCATATGACTGTATTATTACAGTCTAAAAACCTTAAGTAGCCATCTGTGGAAACTGAAAATTACTGTAATTCATATTGCTTTATTTACGAAGTCATGTCTTTATCTAGGCCTTAGGCGTGCAAGTTTTCCTATTCAGAATGAGCATTTTGTTTTGCTTCCTTGTGGTTCATTATGTGAAGGGTGACTTCTGTGTTCAAGAAGATCTTAAAAGGTACATTCTGCTCTTGCTGAATGTAGTGCTGTTTTCATAGCTTTTGTCCCAGCCTGCTCCTTCTCAGTGCTAGCATTTCTGTGTGGCAGCATATTTTGGAAACACCTGACTCAGAGTCTTAAGGAGTGATCAGGGTTGTTTGGCCAAAGTGTGCAGCTATTAAAGGGCATCTCTTTTTCAGCAGAATTGGAAAAGATGTCTGATGTGACGACAGAGCAAGTTTTGTTAATTTAGTCTCACAGTTAACTCTGGCATGTCAGGTTACAGCCAATATTATGCAACTATAAAATCTGTAGAAGTTGAAAATTTAAGAGACTCTGGAAGTAGTTTTCTTTGCTAAAGGGTAACTATTTTTATAATTTTTTAAACTATTTTAATAATTTTATTATTATTATTATTATTTTCTGCATCTTCTTGATAATTTGGATGCCTAATTTGCTTTTATAACTATATAACTGCAGATTTTGAAAGGACTTAAACTGAAAATTCATAGGTGAATATTGAAAGGATCAAACTTTTTAACTCATTTTACGATTATTTTTTAATCAAAGATAGTGAATATTTTGCTATTGTGAGCCAAAATATTTTTTTATTCAGCAAGCATATGCTAGTTTGATAATTCACATATTGGTACAGCTATGTGTCATTTTCTCCAAGTGGCTTATATATAAACTTGCCAACATAGTTTATATATTCTTTCTGAATTACACTGGGATAGTAAACATGGTTGGAATCATTCTGGTGTTTTGCTCTGTTGTCCAGACACAAATGAGAAAATTACTTAGAAAATTCTGTGAGCCACAGAATTTTTTTGTCCCCTTTGCAGTATGAAGCTGTGTTAATAATGAATGTATTTTACAAAGTAACATTGCCAAATTGTTTAGCAAATACATTAGGAGCATGTATTCAATATTTATGGACAGGGATCTCTGTGGAGTGCAGACAGTTTGTGATGTCAGGAGGATTGGCCAGAGAACAAAACATACTTTCAGTATTTCATAAGTAAGATTCTTATTTGTTTTGTGAGTTTAGTCTTAATAAGTCATTTCTTTGCTGCGCATTATGCAGCAAAATAGTTTGGTTTTTATTCTCAGTAGGTTCCTTGCTGTGTATATTTCTTAATATTGACCCACTGGCAATGAATGCTAATGAGAGGAAGCTATATGTCTAAATATATGATTATATAAGTGCTAGAAAATCATGTTCCAAAATGTTGTAGGTCTCTTCTAAAGAGCATAAAAATAGCTGAGCAATTTGGTTTTGTGTCCAACATGATGAAGTCTGACCATGCTTATAATCTCAGCTATTTTAAAGGCAACTTTATTTCTTTAAAATGACTTTGAATTACTGCAGCTTTTCTTTTTCATCTTGATTTCATACTATGCTATGCCTACTTGAGTTTGGCAGCATTCTAGCTGAATATCTAGCTGAATTTGAACCTGACTGCTGATACACAATGTATACTGCCAATTATTTTGCCAGATCACTAAGTAATACGTATGCATTGAACCTTTTTTTTTTCTGATGATAGGGGGCATTGAAACCAATGTACTAGAGAAAAGGATCAAAATGTTTCTGGGGAGTCTTGATAGAAAAGCAAAAAACAATTTAGTATTGTATTAGAAGTTCACCTTTTCTTTCTAAATGTAATTTCTTTAAAACCTAAACTCAAATAAAAAGTAAGAATCATGTTGTCATAGTAGCTAGACCTGAATATCCCTACATAGAAAATTGTGACAAATAATTAGATTGTTAGTACAACAAAATGAAGGAGCTAGGTCTTTGTACTTCCTAACTTTTAAAATGTGTGATAGAAATTTTAGAGAACGTAGGGGGAGATAATAATGCTTTATTTTTGTGCAGTGTGTGTGATGCAGAACTAGAACAATAACAATTACAGTAGCAGTAAGATCATAGAATCAGAGGCCTGGGTTGAAAAGGACCTCAGAGATAATCTAGTTTCCACCCCCCTGCCATGGGCAGGGTAAAAGATAAAGTACGTATAGATGGAAGGAACCCCAAACTTTTTACCTGTAGTTCTGTGTTCTGAATGCTGTTATGAATTTGACAAATGCATAAACTGTACATATTTTTCCATCAGAGAAACACAAATTCTTGATGGGTAATAGAAAGTAGCTCATAAGACAGAGGAAGTGAAGAAATAATTGAATTGATGAATTGAAGAACCTGTATTCTTTATATTGCTATGGCCATTTAAATGTTTGATGATGGAAAGTGGTACCAAATTTAGTGCTTAGATTTTTCCTGAATCAATTTTTTTCTGAGGAACCAATGATCTCTCAGCTCAATTTATCTTTTTTTTTTTTTTTGCCTTTGCATCAGGAGAATCCTGTTTTTGTTCTGTCAGCATCTAGGCATTTTCTGGAAATCTAAACTTAATCTGTGATTCATTCATGCAAAAGCATCCTTGATTAATCACTGCATCCCTTTTCAGCAATTTGATTTATTTACAAGGTATCCTGTATTCTCTGTAGGCTACTATTTCAGCTATGCTAAGTTCATGCTTACCTGTGTGGTGATGTCACAGGACCAATGGTGACCTCCTTAGTTCAGGCCAGTACAGCTACTTGTGGCTCAGAGCATCTTCTGATGCATGTGGGCTAGGCAATGCACTCTGCTCCAGCTGAGGAGGGCTGTAGCTTGGGGTGTTCTGTAGCTGTTGGTGGCCATTCAGGCCTCTTGTCATTGTGTCTCTGCAGCATTACAGTGCAGCCTAGGTAAATACCTACCAAATGAAATGCCAGTGTTCAAAGGCTTTTATGTAACTCAGCACAGCTGGAGAGTGTGAGATGCAGAGGGAGAGGCTGAAGGGAGCAAATAATGTCACCACAAATGGGTCCACTTGGACACAGCAATTACATGTTTACAAAAGTGAATGAAATAATAGTGTCAGTAGCTGATCTGTTGTTGTTATGCAGTTTCCTGTGCCATTTAAAGTACAAGAGGGTCACTGGGAGATGATTTTTTCTTCTCTTTTCCTTTCTTTCTAGTTCTAAAGCCAGGATTCTGGGAAATACAAGCACTGCTGTGTTTCATAGTCTAACTCTGGGGGATGGAAATTTTTTTAATAAAAGCATTCCCCTGTTCAATTCACATTAAAAAAAAGAGAAAAAAAAGAGGAAAAAAGAAGGAAAAAAAAATCACACCTTCATGTGTTAATGATGTAATGATGTATTATTAATCACTCAATAAATAGATGATTTAGGAAACAAACCACATCTGTAGTTGAGTACCTTTGATGCCTGTTGCATTTGAGTTGGTTTTCTTTGCTTACCAGCACAGGAAGGTAGTGTTTTGAGTCACAGTCATATGATTTCTTGTGTCTGACATGCAGGATTTCCCTCTGTCCATCTTCACTTCTCTGAAGCACAACAAGACACCATGGGCAGTAATACTTCTTTCTTGTTTTCCTTACCCCTTCCTTGCTATAGCCTGTCATGTCCCACTGCCGTGGGGCTGCAGTCTCCTCTGGATGCAGTAATGTGTGTGCTACTAACTGGGTACCATTTGCAGATGATAGATGAGGAGCTTTTTTTGTTTTGGTTGTTTTGGTGAAAAAATATCACCAAAGGAAGTTCACTTGATGTTTCTCTCCCCTTTAGAATTAGAAAATTGTATCACAGTAATTTCTTATCTTTATGAACTCCATGTTAATTTTAAAAATGTGTCAAAAAGCCATTAGTTCATTTTAGGACTGTTACATTCAGCAGCTATTAATTCTCCTGTTGTAAAATTCCCTCTGTGGTCTCTAATTTGAATAATAAAACTTAAAGACACAATTATTTTATAGTTAATTAGAGGTTTCCTATGTGTGTATTTGTTTTGTTCTAATTAACTATGCTTGTTTCTTCCCTGGCACTAGTTGCTTTCCTGTATTCTATTATTAGGTCTGTGGAAGATTTGGACTCTCTCTCTGTTTCTCTGTGTTTAGCATATGGGATTCTCACCTCCTAGATTTCTCTGACAGATCTTTAAACCTTCTTCCTCTTCAAGTGAGTTAAAAATCTTTACACTTGCTGTTTGCAGCTTCATTTTCTGTGTCTGTTCACTTTTCCTTTCCACTCCCCTTTTGTACTACCTATCTTCTTTCCTATTCTTACTCTTTCTCTGCATGCTTTGCCCAAAAGAAGCTTTGATCTTTTTCATCAATGGGTCAACATTTGCTAACTCTACTTCACTGGCTTTCATGTTTCTATTGTGTTGAATATGCTCAGGAAGAGATGCAAGACCTTTTAAGCATCAATTGCTTGAAGAGTGCAGAGTGTTTAAAGCAACTTATTAAATATACTTTGGTCTAAGAATGCAGACTGTCAGATTATGATTTTTTTTCTCCTGAGTAACACAAAGCATTGCTCATTTAATCTGGTTGATTGTAAGCATTGTTCTCCATAGGGACTTGTGTCTGAAAGCATTTGTTGTATTCTATGTAGAGGATTCTTTGATTGTGCTGACTGCTTGTGTCAAAGACTTTCAAAAGTAGGTTAATGCCAAGAACTGCCTATTGATGTCTGAGATATACCTAAATATACCTAAATACCTAAATATACTAATACCTAAAGGGAGTCTACGAACAGGAGGGGAATCAACTCTTTGAAAGGGTTGATAACAGCAGGACAAGGGGAAATGGTTTTTAGTTGAGGGAGGGGACATTTAGATTGGATGTCAGAGGGAAATTCTTTACAGAGAGAGTGGTGAGGTGCTGGAACAGGCTGCCCAGAGAGGTTGTGGATGCCCTGTCCCTGGAAGTGTTCAAGGCCAGGTTGGATGGAGTCCTGGACAGCCCGGTCTAGTACTGAATGTGGAGATTGGTGGCCCTGCCTGTGGCAGGGGGGTTGGAGATTCACGATCCTTGAGGTCTCTTCCAACCGTGGCCATTCTGTGATTCTGTGAAGATGCAGCTAGCTTGCTAAGGATCAGGGTGCGTTCAAACCTAGATGCACCTCTCATTGGTGTGAGAGCTTGAGGCAGGGTGCACGTGGTTGACTTGATTTGCTCCTGCAGCCTGCTTGGAGGAGGCTGATCAGAAGCAGAGCACATCATGTAAGGTATAAGGTACATTTCAGATTTTTATAGACAGAACCTTTCTTCAACTGCCACTAAAAAGTGACTGCTGAATGCCAGGATGTGACCTGCGAAATCTGTGGCTTACAGTTACTTTTTATTGTTGCTATTACCCCTAAATTGGTGGAACAACTCATGTGCTTCTTCTGCTCCATTGTATTCTTAATAAATGTCAGGAAAGTAGAAGGTGAGACTTGCAGGTTACATACAATCATGATCTTAAAAGCCTCGCTTATCATCAAGAGAGTGGTAGGGTAAACTATATCTCCTGCTTTTGGCATTAGGATCTTGAGGAGCAGAGTTAATCAGGTACCATAGTTCTTCCTGTAGGGCAGCACAAACACTCAGAACACAGTCAGGCGTAGTCTGTAATGACTTGCAGTAAAAAGAAATAAATGCTGTGGGAAAATTAAGGGAAAGATCACCTTAAGATAACAAAGTTTTGTGGTGGTGTTTGGTTTTGGTTTCGTTCTTGGATCGCTGCTGAAGAAGACTATAAAGCCAGTAAGGAGGTGGATTAGGAGTAGCTTAACCTTTGTTCCAAGCATTGGTGGAAGAAAGTCTGCATTTGTTGTTAAGAGGTTAATGTTGTGTTACAAGCTGTCTATCAAAGTGGTAAACTGTGAGGCATTGCCCTTTAGTGACAGAGTTAAGGAATTGAAGTCTTTCACGTTTCAGTGAGAAAAGGTTGTGAGATGCTGTGAGCACCATTTGACTGCAGAACAGATAAAAACAATAATTTAGCTTAACTGAAAAAAAAAAAAAAAAAAGAATGGATGGCTTTTGGCTTTCGAAACTGTATTTTGTAGATTTTGTAGATTTTTTTAAAGGCTCTTAATCTACATGGAAGCATACAGAGCTGTATTTTCATCTAAATTGGCATGTGAGGGCAGAAAATACCTGTTTGTCTGAATTGGTAAAGCTACAGAAATTACCATAGATAAGTCTTATATGAAATGAGAGTAATTGTCATTCCAGTTTAATTACCACTAAAGATAATTGAGACTGTATTCATACGTAACACGGCATTTATGGCATTTTGTTCAACAAAAATTAAACTATCTTTCTAGAACTTTATTACTCGTATTGAAAGAGATATATCAGCTTTTACAGCTTTTTTTTTTTTTTTTACATCAGCACATATTCAAACCTTTCCCCTCTTCCCTGCGGGGAATACAGAATAGTAATGCATTAATATGGATGGCAGTTTATAGTCTATTCAGTTGCTCACTTCATCCACATTGTGTCCTTACCAGCACAGTTTTGTTATCATTCTTAGTTTTGTTTTTGCAGAATGTTTTTTTTTTTTCTTTTAAATTGAGGGAATGTTGTGCATTCCAAAGATAACTGCCTTTTCTTCCTCTAAAACAGAAGTGTATGAATATACATCTTTCACTGAGGTTAGTGTAGTAGAAATCAGTTCACTCTACTTTTAAATAAATGATTACTGTCATGATCAGTAAACTCATATGCTGATGTATTCCTGCACTTCTCTCACTGCCATTCTCATTTACACAGCATTCAGTGAATTTAGATACCCCTGTTTTATGATAGCAATTTCATGAGATGTGAAACAGTCTTGATGGTCTCTCTACAGCTTGGAAGTTGCCAGTCTGACTCGGGCAGATGCTGATTTGGAGGCATATCGAATACGGATCTGTAAAGAAGTGATTGCTATGATGATGAAGAACATGGTTTTAAGTCACAGCCTCATTCCACATGTGGAGAAGAGGATGAGTTCAATTTTCAAAAAGCAGTTCCTTACAATGGAGAGAGAATTTCAGGAAGAGTACGAAAGAAAGGTTGTGGCTTTAACAGCTGAATGTAATCTGGAAACAAGGAAGAAGATGGAGGCTCAACGCCAGAAGGAGAGAGCTGCAAATGAAGAGGCTGAAGAGTTAATGAAAAAAGTGAATGAAATGGTAAGTCTTGTATAGAATGGAGAAACTTTGCATGATGTAGTTTTATGTAGACGGTTTCTCTTTTGCAGTAGGATGGCTGAGTTGTTCTCTTAGAGGACTGTGCAAATTAGGTGTTTTCAAAAGATCAGATTTAATGAGAGTAGGTACTAGCAAGAAACCATTTTGCTTTACCAGGAAAATGAAATTATCTTGAGAATCTGTGACACCTAAAAACAAAAGGCCACCAGTATCTTGATTTATTTTTTGCTTGCATAGTTGCTCACCCTTGCAAAGTAGTTCATCATTATTTATTATTTTGTATTGCAGTAGTTCTAAGAATTCTAGGAAAGAAAGTATTTTACACATTCAGGGTAGAATCATAAACCTTATCTGCATCATAAAACCTACAGTACAGATAAAATTTCTCCAATATTCTTATTTTGAAGAGAATGGAAATACATTAGCCATCTCCACCAAGGACTGTTTTCTTATAAACCAAATGAAGACAACTAGAGCAGTCTATATTTAAAGCAGAGCAGGGAGTGAAATTTTTGTGAAAATAACCTCTCAGTAACAGCGAGATAAATCGTGTTAAGACTGAATATGATTCTTTACAAATTTAGGGTCTCTCTGTAAAAAAAAAAAAGCACTAAGTAAAATCTTAGTGCTAATGCCAAAAATTACTTTCGATCAGAGATTTCTGACTGAACAGGTAATATTGCCTAAGATTTCATAGGTAGTCATTTCTGGAAGTAGAGCTGAAGTTGTCTGTCCTCCATTTCAGTGTCCCTGATACGAAATTATGCTCAGTTCTTCCACATCATCCTTCAAATATAGTGAATTTTACAGTAAAACTGATTTTTTTTTTTCCTTTTTAATTCACGTCTGGAGAGAAGTCTGGTAATTTCTGAGTGTTTCACCTCTGTAACCTTAAAATGCTAAAATATTCAAGTTAATGTTTCATGCTTGTCTAAGTTCATAACTTGAATCGAAGAGGATGACTTGGTGGGAAGAAATAGCACAGTTTGTGATTTACCAGTGGTGCTTTGGTTCTGGAGCACATGTGGGTGCATGGGTATTGGATGTGGCACTTCTGAATTTCCAGCTGTCCTTGGATAAATTGTTTTTAGTAATAGATTCTCTTAAACCTTTATACATGCCTGTGTCTGCTGTCATTATAGACATTTCCTAAGTTTTTGGCATTCTGTAAAAACACTTGATTTTTTTTTCTGTTTGCATACCATGTACCTATAATTGTGAAGGACTTCTATAGCAATTTGTGATAACATCTTAGAGAAAACTGTTTTGCTGAGGGTTTCCTGGTGAAGTACCCTCAGCATGCTGAGGCTCTGGAAGAACTTTGATTTCAGATTATTCAGAGTTCAGTGTTTGAATTTTTACTAAACGTGCATTCAGTCCAGCAGATTTTATTTGCACAAAATACACTGCTGCTCTTTCAGTCTTGTTTATATTAAAAATCCCAAACAGTAGCAGTCATTAAAAGAATTAAGACCAATACAATTATTGTCCTTATGCATCTATGATCTACCTATGTTCTGTTATCCAACTTTCAGTCCCCTAAAATCCTGACAGTAGTTATGTTTTTTGAAAGAGAATGGTAAAACCCAGCAGAATCTATGAAAGAATGTGGTTGGGTTTTTTTTGTTTTTTTTTACTTCCCATGGAACTTGGTCCAAGAGGACATGCTGGAGAATTAGGGATGCCTTACTCTTGAACTCCTGCCAGTGGGTGACATCAGAGAGACAGCGGTGATAAGCAGATGCAGCAAAAGCTTCTTCATCCTTTTTGGTCAAAACAGAGAATGGATATTCCTTGCCTTTTTGATTAATTGTTTGTTGCCTACAGTGCATTGCTTGGGAATGAGGGGTGAGCTTAGGGAGGCTCAGTGCAGAGGATAATTCTCTCAATATGAATAGTATGAAATTCAGAACAAGACTCACGTAACACTTTGATAGCTCTGCTGACATAAGAAGTATCCTTTGCTCTTTGGGACATGCATGTTTTGACTCTAAAATGAGTTTATGCCATCTGAGATTAAAACTGTGAATACGTAAATCTTACTGGAGAGCTATGAGAAAGTATTTCTTGCCAAGAAGCTTTTAAATTAATTGCCATTTAATTCTGCTCCATTGTTGTAACTGTAAAGTGGTTCTATTGGATTAATTTGTAGAAACTGATAGATGAAGTAGGTCACTGATAATAAAAACTTTCAAAGATTTGCAATGTAATAGGGTTATTTTTCTAATTTATATATGTTTTTAGATATCTGTGTTTTCTGACTTACGTAATTCTATTCAATTTTAATATGATTTCAAGATTGCTGAATGTAAGAAATTTATTTCATATATATAATGTTGAATCTCATGAAGTTGGTTTATCTTCAAGAATGCTTCTCAGTTCTAATAATGCCTTGGAAGCGTCATTTGGGTTATAAACTGACTGTTGTACAATCCATCATTCCAGCAGATAAACATGGAAAGTGTACACAGATTCAATATTAGCCTTCTTCAAACCTGAAATGATAGTAATCAGAGTGTGCATAAAGCTGCTACATTCAATGATTTAAAATATGTTGAATGCTGAATTTATTCAGAGCATTTATTATTCTCTTCTCTGCAGCCTGCTGTAGAATACAGAAGTCTTTTGGATAGACTTCACAGTCTGGAGCAGGACCATCTGAAGAGGTTCCTTCTGGTAAAGCAGGAGGAATATTTTGCAAACTCTTATAGGCAGCTGACTGTTTCCCAGAGAAAGGAGCTCCATAACATCTTCTTTACACAGATAACAAATGCTACTTTCAACGGAGAACTGAAACTGGAAATAGCAAAATCATTAGTGGAAGATTACTCTAAAATACAGGTAATAGGACAATTGTTCTCATCTTAAGCTGATGACAGAATACAAACTCATAGTATCTTTTGTAAAATGTTTCAGGAAGCATATGCACTTGTGCCTAAAACGTATTATCAATATATTATCACCTTTATAGCTAATTTTCACAGGAATAACATTTAAAATTATATTACCATTATTATGCATGTTTAGATAACTGTACAACTGTATATGAATGCATTTGCAGAGCCTTTTTCTATAACAGTGAATTAGGTGTATTTGCTACAATATTATTTGCTAAGTACTCAACTTCTGTTTTCATGGGTAATATTTTCAAAATGCCCAAGTGCTTAAAGCTAGTCTTTACTACTCGAGGAAAATAAGACTCAGAGGTCACCTATGTCATGCAGAAGAAACAAGGCTGAAAACTTGCCTACTCTATCCATGGGGAAATAAATTGTGATATACAAATCTGAAGTTTTGCAGTGAGTATTTTTGGTCTCTGCATAGCTCCTGAAGGCTGTCTTAGTAGAGTTCTGTCCTTGACCCCTTTCCCACAGTGTGGACTGTGAGCAGATTTGTGTTTATAAAGCAAACTTCAGGTTCCAAGTCTGCCCTACACGATGTTAATGGGGCCCTCAGCCTCTGACAGAAATGTCAGGGTGCATTGCAACACCATAGTTTGTGTTCTTAAAGGACTTTTTACTCTGTGTTGGAAGTTAGTCTTCTGGATTCTAAAAACTCTGGGAATTGTTTTTCTGCCTGTTTCTTGAAGAATGAGTGTTGGGATCATAGACGTTGCAGTTTTGGAGTTTACAAAACAATATCTGAAAAGTAAGTGTTAAAACATAAGGTCCACTTGTAAAACTAGGTGCACTGTCAGTGCTTTGTACAAAAAAGCCTCACATGGGTCACTAAAAGACGTACATGCTGTAAGAACTTCTCCAAAAGTAGGAGAAGGTAGCTAAGCAACCATAGGGCAAATGAAAGAAATCCTGAAGATGTTGGTTTTGCTACTTGAACATGGGTGACCTAAGTATTAGAACTTGTCTTAGATACCTGATGTTAGCCGAATGTGTGCTAGAGACCATCCTGTGCACACCTTTGGTGTTTACCGCAGCCACCTGTAGACTTAAACACTTCCTATTCCAAACTGTTGAAAGCAGAAACTTCTGAGCCAGCCTGTGTACAGCTAGTGTGACTTTTCCCATGCTGTGCTGGACACATGTGGGAGATGTATCCTTGTCTTTGAAGCCAATTTAGGAAAGTACACACAGAATAGAGGTATTCATACCAAAGGCTCCGCGTGTTATTTTCTTTTGATGAAATAATGCTAATAATTCAGCATGATCTCCAGACTTAAGTTTGTATGAGCTCACTGTTTTTTTTCACTTGTAAAAGCTTTTTAACTTCTCTCTGTTTAGGAGCAAGTCTGACCTGATACCCTTAGGTGTTGGTTGAAATTAACATTAAATCTAATTAGGTATGTTTTTTCACATTCTTTCTTGTAGGGAGACATTGAAGAGCTAATGGATTTTTTGCAAGCTAGCAAGAAGTATCATCTGAACAGAAGATTTGCTTACAGAGAGTATCTTATAAGAAAGATACAGTTAAGGGATTCTCAGGCCTCTGATCTTATAAATACAGCAGCAACTCAGATATTGAATCTCATTAATAAGATGGAAAGGTAAATGCCTCGGCTGTTTTTTTGGTATCTCTCTTGGTGTTTATGTTTCCTAGCAAGAAAGGTGCATAAAAATATGTGTGGGGGTTGAGTTTATTCGAATATTTTGTAACCAGTGTCAGTTGACTGAAAAATAATCCGACACTGCTGCTACAGGTCCTGTGTATGCATCTTAGTGTGTTTCAGATGTCTGTATTGGTATTATTCACTGACATCATATGGGGCATGCATTAAGAGAACAAGTTTAACATAGGTAATGCAACACCAGCCTCTTGGCTCGGTGGCAAGAGTCAGCACTGGAGAGATATGTCAGACTTTACCTTGTGCATTTTCTTTCATGATGTTGACTTACGTTAAAAGTAATTTAATATTAGAAAGCAGGAAGTCTGTACAAAATGAAAAGATTGCATCTGTTGAGATGGTAAACTAACTTATTTAATTCATGTAACCTTTGCTTATTCATCCTGTTTACTGACATGCTGAGTTCAGCCTCAAGATCTGTTGATCAGAGAGCGGTTCTTCCCATATGGTTACACTGCTTTGCCTATTTTGCTAAAATCTGCAGCTGTGTGGCTCTAAGACAAAAATAAATCTCTTGGCATAGGAAATAGAACTCAGGCACATCTTCCACAGAAAGTTCCTTTCCATCAGTTCGTGCCTCTGTTCAGAAATGTATTATGCAAGAAATGTTCTGAGATGTTTTCACAGATGTCATTATGTGAAAAGCCTTAATGAGAAACTCATCTGTATAACCACTGTGTCCTTGGATCAAATCATTGCAGTAATAACTAGGACTTCTCAAGCTGAAGAAAGAGGTTCCACTCAGTTTTCAATGTTTTTTACTGTGCTTAACAGTCAGAAAACAACAGAACAAAGAGGAGACATGTAGTATTAGTAAGACCTAGTGGATTTCATCCCAAAAATATAATAGGAGGGATGATTGTGTACACACACACACAACCCTCCCCCAAAAAGCCAACAACCTCTTCCCTCTTAAAGCATAATTTCCAAGATGAAAAATTAATTCTGTAGTGCTCCCCTTTCAAACTTCTCAGACTGGCAGACAAAGGAAGTGTATCCATAGTTCTGGATGACATTTGTAGAGAATAAATCCCATCTCCCTTTCTGAGTGTAGAACTAGTTATTTTCCTGTAACTTCCCATATTTGCTGGGTCACAAATTCCACTCAAGCAAATTTTGGCCAAATTCTTATTCAAATTCCATTCTAAAGAACAAATTACAGAATGTAATGATTTAAATTTTTTTGCTGGTTATTTTTTTTCCTACAAGCAAACTGAAATATACAAGTATGAGCCCAGAGGAAGTTATAATCTGTGCTAGGCAGGCTTGAATTTGAGTTTTTACCTCTAAACTGATTTAAGGTGTATTTACAAATTTGGGAGTTAAAATTTGACCAAGAGCAGTTTGGTTTGATGAGCTGCTACTTTAAATTTGTGTCCATAATATCCTCTTATTTTTCATATTACTGTTTCAACTGCTTGTCTAAATGTAAATACAGGTCTATCTTGATTTGTTGTGTCTAGCTTTGGTAATGGGCCTGAAACTTACAGTTACAAATGGAATTCTAAAATGTAGAACTGTTTATATTGAGTTGAGAAACCAATATATTACAAATTAACAGATTCAGAAATAAATATAGCAAGTAAGTTGTGTGGGTAGAGACCATAATAGAATATAAAATTTATCAGAGAGCAAGGCAGTTCAAAATGAACATGAAGATGATTATTTTTTGCCTGAAGAATTCTAGGGAGATTTGTGAACATTTTAAATGAAATAAAGCAGCCAGGTTTGTCAAACTGAACTTTCTAATGATAGCAGTAAAATAAAATATCCTTTTTAATATAATAGGACTGGCTGTGTGTACTTGGTGCTGTTTGAAAATCAAGCCTGTGAGTTGCAGTGTTGGAATGCAGGAAAACAAATTTTAAAATTCTAACTCTAATGATACATTTTCAGATGTGTTTGTTTGGGCTCTTTATGTTTTCCCTTAAAGAGTCAGTGAGTCAAAAGGCAACTGGAGAAAGTATTTAGCCCAGTGTTGATCTGAGTATACACAGAGATGCAGAGCTCTTGATATTTTTGAAGTGCAGCAGCTGTAACATTGCATTGTTCTTGTGCAAATATCTGCACTTTCAAAGAAGTTTTCTTGCTTCTCAAAAATCCTCACATTTTAATATCTATAAGCATTCATTACGAATTGTGTTTTTTGAAGCAGGGTGTTGCTTCAAAGATAATCAAAGCATTTTGTATTGTTCTTTTGAATATTCTTCGTTTCGTGGGCCTTGTTATAACCTAAGCAGTTTTCCACACAGTGTCTTGCTGAACCTTTCAGGAAGAAGGTGCTGGAAAGTGAATATCTCCAGTAGTAATGTGACAGCACAAAGCTTTCTCATGATTTCTTACAGCCTTTTCTGCATGTAGCTCTTTTCTGTATTAAAGCTTTTACAGCCTTGAATTATTTACCTCAGTTATTATCAGATAATATATTATCATATATTGTAGTATGCCAGCTTGGCAGTGAAATCCTAAAATAGCTGAAGAGCAGTAACCTGGACATCATCATGCAGGTTCTCTCCATACAGTCTGTTTTGAGACAGCCTCCATATACAGCTTTTCTGATCTCTTTTGCTTCAGTGAATCTTTTCTCTAGCTTCCATAAAACAGTCCTTTGCTGGGGTACAACTTTCATTAGACAGTTCTCCATTTCATCTAATACAATCTACTACTCTACTCTTACTTCACATTTTTCTCTAAACTTTTAGGCTTTCATTCTGTACATAGAAATCAAGGTTTTTCTCCAATTGACCTATGATGTGTGCTTCTCATGGGCCTACGCTGCATCTCAAGATTCTCACTGCATTTGTGTGAATCTTCCTGTAAATCTCTCTGTCATTACTCTAGTATTCTCCTTGTACAAAAACATTAAACATGTGCCTGCACATTTTGTCTGGTATGATGAGACCAAGCAGTTTATCATACAGTCTTATATTATTTCACTGTCTTTCTCCTCTCCTTTTATTTTGTATTTCAGTTCACAGTCCTTTAGGAACAGGGTGTCTTTCAGTTCTAATACACCAACTGTTTTTACACTGTTTTTATATGGAACTAGAAATGAAGTTTGCTTGGAATGAAATAGCCTAGAGCCTCCTAGGAATACTGATTAATAAAAGTTACTGTTTAAATTCCTATAGACCTCTGTAACGGTAGTTTTGACCACTATTTTATTATTTGGATTTTTAAGTAGATTCCAAATAAATAGATCATCAAATGCAGTTTGAGATAAGGGCATATGGATCTCTAAATAATAAACAATCCAAAACTGAAGTAATGCAGACTTTTTTTTTATCCTGAGAACAGGTGGATATATAAATCTTCTTCTTCTAGTCATTCTATGTTGCATGTCTATTTTGAAATTTTTCATTTGCAGGATGATTCCAGCACATCCATCTTTTTCTATTGCAGCTCTTTCCACTGCTGTGGACAGGGATTTTAATTGGGTGCAGTAAGGCTGGGTTTATTTCTTCAATACGAGACAGGCTGAAGGTGTTAAAAATAATATCTTGGTTATTATCTTACCATAATAAATCTACCTTTGATGCAATAATCTTTTGCCTTGGGCTTGATCAGAAAGGAAGCATGAGATCTATCAAATACAGATACAAAACTTGGTGCTCTTGGGTCCATAATGATTTGCTTGGACATATCACTGAACTTTATTTACTTTCAAGGCAAAAATGACTTTGCCAAAATATCTGGGAATAATGCTTGGTAAATTGCTCTCAAGTTGCTGAGAGGTGTTTTAATCCTCCTTACAGAGGATTAGAAAAATGCAGTAGACACTGGAAGAAACCTCTGTAAAAGGAGGCATTCTCTGGTTGACGTAACTGTGAAAATGCAGATCTGAGTTTCTTTCCAGCACAGTCAGTACATGGGGGTTATTTTGTGGCTTGCTCAGATACCTGCAGATGCATGAGCTGTAGGTGGAGAGGTGAGAGTTGTGGAATTTGGGCACGTTTATAATGTGGTAACTGCAATCATGTTAAAACTTTATATTCTGCTTCACTTATTTTAGCTTGTATTTTGAAAATCTTACTTAGAATAGGCTGCAACAGTATGAACAAATCCCAATAAAACAGAATGAGCCTCCATACATGAGAAGGTCATGGTGGTAGATTGCTATGTTTAGCCACTACTGTAGCTTATTAATTCTGCTAGGTATCACGCTGGAACAGAGACTTGGACGACCAACATATAAAGACCAACATACCAATTTTTTCAAAATTCTATTAAATCCAAGCTTTGTTTATAATACTGATACGGGAAGAAGGGATTTGGAAATTAAACCAGGAAATGTTCGGACAACGTCCAGATTCAGCTTTGGAAGTGGTGCTTTCTGCTCAAAATTTCATTTGACCTTTTCAGCACCACTTCAAAACTCCAGTGTGCTTAATATAAAATAATACTGCCCAGCAGACTAGCCTGACTTAAGATAGTCTACATTAAGATGCTCTTCCATTCTTCTGTTGTTTGAGAAAGATTTGGGAAATTTCTATTGTAAATAGCGTAAATATGACAGCAGACAATTTTAGAAATTAAATTTGAGTGTATAGGGAGAAAGTTCTTATAAACTGTTAAACTATTATTCATATTTTGCTTAATCTTTAATGTTAAATAGGATAGCAACTGTGGGTAGATCATAGACCTAAACTTAAGTTTGAAATAACCATGTTCCTAAGACTGAGGATTTGCTCTGTCATTGTATTGTATTTCACTGTTTGAAATCTTTTTCTTATTTAAATGCAGTAGGAAAGCTGAATCTAAGTGTTTTTATTTGATTAAATTACATCCTTAAAAGAGAAAATTGCTTCTAATGAGAAGGAAATATAAAAGACATCTAGAGTTGCATCCCAGTGGCATTAAATGAAAAATGTAAATATTATGAATAATATATAAGGTTTGAAATGTCTCATTTGAATATTACTTACATTACTAGATGATATGTAATTGATTTTGCATTTGCCTTCCCTTTCTTCCTTCTTCCCATTCCTTCTTCATACTCTGCCCTCACAAACTGCCTTGATTCTGCATTCATCTTTGAGATTAGGGTTATCTTTCTGTTATCTGCTTGTTCATTTAAAAATTATGTTACTGCTAAAAAACAAAGATCTTTCTTTGTGGCTGCTTTGTTGAGCCTTATTACTGTACTAATTGCTTCAAATATCCTTTTGCTTATAAGAATTTGGGGTAAGAGGTTTCAAACACCATTATTATTACAGAGCGGGTCATCTACATGAAAGTCATTTGGAAATGCTGCTGGACCGAGCTGAGGCTGAAATTAATTCTGTTAAACAAAAATTCGATCATGATTTAAAACAAGAAAAGCAAAAGCTTCATCAGAAACTCATTACCAAGCGAAAGTGGAAAATGTTGCAAAAGGTAATTATTTTCAGTAGATATATTTTCCCAGGGCTTAACATGAAGGAAAAATTGAATGTGTTGAAAAGTAAGGCATAGTTCTTAGGATGGAGGTTAGCCAAAACAATGATGAAAATAAATGTCCATTGTTATTTGCTGTGTATGATCATGTATTGTATTGTGTTTATTCAGCAATTAACAGCTGTTTTTAAAAAAAAAAAAAAAAATGCCTGCAAGAAATTAATATTTGTTTTGCTATAATATGCATATTTAACAAGCTAAAATTTGAGAGCTGTTTCTTCTCTTAATCTTGTTCCTCTTTTTGGCAAATGAATCTGCAGAAAGAGCAACGGAAGGAGCAGTTGTCCGTAGGAGACCCCTTCAAAACCTCAAGGGAGATCACTGACTACCTGAGCCACTGGAAGACTCTTCTGAGTGATCATGCCATTGAATTTGAAGAACTTACTGAAAAGCTGGATAATGAAGGCAGTGAAGAGCTGAGAGACCTTATATTTAATCTAACAGAGAAAACTGTTGAAGAATTTAAACTTGTTCAATATGGACTATTTGTGCAAGAGCTGATAAAGCTCAGTGTACCAAAGGTGTTCCTGCTGGAGGTTGTGGAGGAGCATAAAAAAGAGATCATCGTTAAACATGAACACCTTGAAAGGGAAGAACGTGAAAAGAGCAAGGCTGCTGAAGAGTTGCTTCAGCTCACCAGGCAAAAACTAAGCCAAGAACTGGAAAACAGTCTTTCACAACAAAAAAAATTAAGGAGCTGGGAACAATCAGTATTCATGCAAGTATCTCTCTCTTTTCTTCTGTTTTTCTAATTAGTAATAAACTAGTAGCTGACATACCTGTCTGGTTGTAATTGTTAATGACCAGTTCTCTGTCATGCACCTGGGAACTGATTTCTCACGAATGCTCAGCCCCTGCAGAGCCAGCAGCATGAGCTGACAGCCTCTATAGTATGACTCTTCAGTGGAATTTCCAGGAATCAGTGTTTTCAAAACCAAAAAAGTGCAGTGCTATTTTTATACTTCAGTTCACTCTGTGTCAGGTGTCACTTGTGTGTCTTTCATTATTGTTCTCAGTCCCTTCTCAGAGATCCAGTACTTTGCAAATGTCATTTAGTATGTCAGGCCTATTTATCCCTACAATCGATTTTTATATATCCCTTCCAGCCACAAGTCAAGCTTTATCCATCATGTGCTCATTTATGCTCTACAACAGTATTTCTACTTATTTCATAAATGCCCAGCATAGTAGTGTACCCCTCCAGTTCTTGAGCTCCATCCATCAGACTTGGTTAATTTACCCTGCTGACAAAGTGCTGCTGGTACCGAGGCCCCAAGGCAGAGAGGCATCATGGCATGCAACATAGGTGATGCTGCAGAGATTTGCTGACTTCAGGCACATCCTTTGGCCATTGCTTTATGCTGTAATGTGACCTTGTGGAGGTGGAAAGGTGGGAGGCCATGCCACCTCCACTGGAAGACTTTAGGAAGGGAGGGACCTGACTGTAGCCGAGAGAAAGCATGCACAATACTGTGCAGCGTTTTCCTTGATAAGCTTGCAGCGCTTGTCTTTCAAGTACATTTTTAATTTAGTTGTTTTATTACTTGAATGTTTACAGTACTACATTTCTTATACAATGTACTTAACAACAAACTTGGTTAGAGACATAAGAACAGAATTGTAGCTTTAGAGGAAACCACTGGAACAGGCAATGTGTGGAGCCTCAGGAACAACACACCAAATGTGAGAAATAGAAAAAAAATGCATCAGTTAAACTTTCTGCTTACTACCCCTTCTATGAATAAAAGAGATTTGCTTGGGTGTTTTTGTCCAGGCAGCATGTCTCTTAAGTTTGTCTGCTGTACAGACAAGACAAGGCAAGAAACCTTGTCCACTGTATGTTTGCTTTGTTAAAGTATAAAATCCATTTGCATCTTGGTTTGGTTCTGTTTTCAAGGCCCTTGCATTTTATTCAGCATTTTAAATACTTTTTTGTAAGCCTTTTGGTGTATCTTCTAGCTTATCTTATTATCTCAGAATATATTACTGAGAACAGACCTGCGTGAGCAGGAAAGAAGATTGTATGACCCAGCAGGTCTTTCATTTCCTAATTTTCGATTCCAAGGTAATTGTGTTCCAGTCTACAGCATTGCCTGTTACATTTGTTAGATGCTATCTTTATTTACAGCAATAGTAAGCTTCCTGCTTTTTCTAGTAAAATATGGGCAAATGCATACAAAAACTTCAGCATTTATGCAACTGTTCTATCAAAAGGCCCTTGTCTTCTTGTTTAATCCAGTGGCTGTTGATTTTGGTTATTTCAGTTACAGATACCAGCTCTTACATTTGCATGTTCATCTGCAATATAGTTTTCACAATTATTTTGAGTGACAGCTTTTCCTTTTTATTGCTTATTGAAGAGACAATGAGTCAGTCCAAAGTTTGTGAGGATCGTTAATGCTGAAAGTTTTTTTTTAAATATGGGCTTTACAAAATTGTGATTTACAGACTTTACACACCATGGATTTTCCTCTGTTGAAGGTCTAAGACAGCAAGAGGAATAGAAAGAATACTGTAAATGCTTCTTTGGTGTAATATTGGCTAAATTATTTTTAAGTGAGCAATACTCATATTGAAAATGTTTTAATATAGAGTTTAAGTGTACTTTGATGCATCAGTAAACAGGAATGGAATCAGCATTTCTGAACCCAGAAATATTTCAGTAGAACTATGAGTTTCTGTAAGCCTGTATTACATTGATTAAAAGCATCAGGCCTAATGGGACTCACAGGATAATAGCATTTTAAAAAGAAAAATACTTTTTAAAATATATGTATGTTCTCTTCATACTTTAAATGCAAATGCATTTTTGGGAAATAGAAAAAATTCAAAAGAAAAGTTAATCTACTTTTGTCATTTATTCTTATTATGTGACTAAAATATTATTTGAATATGAATGTAGTTTAATGTCAGTCAAATCTGGAAGATGAATTTAAGTTCTGGCATCTTTTTTTTTTAATGTCAAATTCACCTTGACCTGAGGAGCAGTTTCCCAGACTTCTGTGTTGGAAACCTTTCTTCTACAAAAAATGAATTTTGAGTGATTCACATTGTTAAAATGTAATCCATGTTGTTCAGACTGCTGAAAGCTTTTCTACAAAGAACAAGTCAAACCACTTAGTGATGGGACAGATGACATATATGAGTTTATTTCTCAGTGGCTGTGACAGTTAAGTTCTAGCAAAAAGCATAGAGAAACTTTACAAGAAGCCTTTACCGTAATTACAGCCCTAACTTCAGAGTCTGTATTGTCTGAAGTGGTGGTGGAAGGATTCTATGCATAAGAGAAGTGCTCAGAATTGTATTTATTTATTTATTTTTAATTCTGAACCTGTTTTCTTTTGCAAATGATTTTTTACAATCCGAGAAGTTCTGTGTGCAGAAATTAAAGTATCCCTAAGGAAATTTTGAACACGTTGAGCATCTCAGTCCCAGGTGAAATGAATAACTCTTGTATGCATAAGACAAAAAAGAATGATCAAAGTCACATATTTTTCTGCATGCCTTAAAATCTTCTACAGAGTTGTTTGTATCACTGAACAGCAAATGGCTTTACTTTTTTTCCCCCAACAGGCAGCTTCTAACTTTGCCCCTTTCACTATCTGAAGAGGAGTTGCTCAAAATGAGGCAGAAGTTCCACTGCTGCTTTTCTCAGCTGGACAGCAGTTTGGCTCTGCCCAAGATAAGAGCAAGAGCTTTACTTCAGGCTTTTGAGCTGGAGTGGAGAGATGCACAGCTACTGAAAGTCAATCAGAATCTAGCAATGACCAATAAGCAGGTGGGAACATTTGGGATCAGTTTGGAAATGGGTGAGGTGTTCATGTAGGTTATCCACAGGTTGCTGGCCTCATGTGCAGATACAGGTCCAAGGCTTCTCCATAGGGATGACAGTGAAGTACACTCCTCTTCTGTGTGCAGATGGTGGACCTAGAAGGTAACAGAGCATAGGGAATATGCTTGCTTCGCATACACCTGCATATAGCTACTGCTTGCGTGTCCTCCAGCCTCTCCAAGATGAAGGTGTAGGTATAAGAAAGTGGTTGGGTGGCCAAAAGGAGCCACGTTTCTGAGGAGAGCTACTGAAACGTCAAAACCTGGAGTGGTGCTAAGCTTCGGGAAGATCAGGCACAACCCTAATTGCAGTTTTACCTGCAACCCCCATGCTTCACAAAATTTGGCAATAAAGAGGAAGTAAGGGCAGATTAGAGAGTATTTTTAGAGGAATGTCCTACATTATCTTGTTTGCTTACGAAAGTGAAGCCCCTGAGTTAGCTGATCATTCTTTGCAAGAATATAGCTTGATACTTGATTCTTCTTTCCAGAAGAGTTGTTCAGGTACTGAGGATTTTCTTCTTCTATTTGGTTATTTTAAATCTACATATGTACATTTAAGGTTGGAGAGACTTTCCCAACAACTTTCCCATCTATCAAATCTAGACTCTTTTTAAATTTTAAATAATTGTGTGAAGGGTGTTTAATACCTTCAGTAAAATGTAAAACCTGTGGAGTCATAAATTGTTTTCCGTCCTTAAGCAGGAGAAAGAAAATTGTTTCTGGTGTGATTTATTTGATGCCATCGTAAACAAAGGACTTTGCTTTGTTTTGTTTCAGTTATGTTTTCTAAACGTATAAGTGAACTTGGGATAATTGCTCTAGAAAGTAGGCTAGATCAAAACCTTAATAATTTCTGAAGTACTTAAAAAAAGAAAATGACTTTGCAAAGCCTTATAGTTGAACAGATGTTATCATTTCCCTGAGAGTACATTATGCTTAGTTGATATTCTTGTAAAGAAATATAAAGGTCAAGAATAATTTGATTACATGGAACGGTGCTCCTTAATACTATCATGGTTCATTTGAGATTCATATAATGTGTCTGGAAAACAATGTCGCTCTTAAATTAATATTCTTTGTTCATTTTTAACCGTGCTGGGGAGATAATGTATCTGTTAAAATCTTGTTGTATTGTCACTGCTAAAGGTTATTTAAAGTAAAATTTATAACGGTTTTCAAGGGAAGGATGAATATATAATTCTACTTGAAAGAAATTTGAAAAGAAATTTCCAGCTTTGTCTGAATATCTGAAAGGAATCTTCTGAGTGAGTAGCCAACACATGCATTTTAGAAATACTTTCTTAGTGAAAGTTGTCCTTGCCACGTTTCATTAATTGTTGAATCTGCCAAATATAGTAAGTAGTAATCTTAATGTTAATATACTCATCTGTCTTTTACAAATAAAGCACTTTGCACTCATCTTTTTACAGCCTCATTCTAAAACGAAAAAAACAGGATCCAAGAATAGAAATAAGATTGATATTTTGAAGAAATCTTTACAGGACAAAATTTTCATTTATGAAGACTCAGCGAAAGTTGAAAATTTGACAAAGGTAAATGCATGCATTTTCTGTACTGCCTAAATTTTAAACAAGATAAAAAATGAACGACATGAAATGGAGTGAGAGATCTTTCTACTCTTGACTACATTTGTTAAGATGCATGCAAAGATTAACAGTTTGCTTTAATTTTTTGGAGTTAGACCTGAAAGCATTTTGGTAACACTATTTCATCAGATGGTTCTTGGACTTACTGTATGTGTTGACAGCAAGATGCACCTCGGTCCTTTGGCTTTCTTACGGAGTCTTTCAAGTAGTGGAATGTGCTTCACTGCTGAGAAAGATTTAGCTCATGGACCTCTTCAAAGTGCGTTCTTAGAAGATGTTTTGGGTAGGTGCTGGGTTTGTTTATGCCCAACTCCTTAAGAGTGTCTTGAATAAAATGGGTATCTTTTGGAAAGAGTCTCAGTCCCAATCTGGTTAATCCTTAAGGAATGGGTGGGGCTTGTGCCAATACAGGATTTTTGAGTCTTTGTCCTTCTCTGCCCCCAGACTTTCCATGAGATCTGTGAGATGTTGTTCATGCTCTTTAATCTTTCTCTGCTTTGCTTTCTCACTTGTGTGATATGAGTAACTTAAATTTTCTGTATCATATGAATATTACAGTGACAACAGTTAGACGGAGGTAGTGGTCAGCTACTATAAGCTCTGTGCAGAACAAGTGTCATTGGAAGTTAAAATTGGTAGATAAAAATACTTCCACAAATGACTGCAATGTCAATTTTAGTATAAATTTGGACACAGTTTTGTTCTTACACTTATTCCTTCTGCTTTTTATACCTGTATTCTGAGGAATGTGAAATCATGGATGATCAGTGTGTTAATTCAGAAATAATTTTACATTTATGTGAGACGAACACTTTGCTATTATTTGTTGCAGATGGTAAAAGTAAAGGTTTATCCAGCATCCAGTCTTTGAAAGTGAGAGCAAATGCTTATGCAAGAGTGAGACAAGTGGCCAAGTGTATTCTGCCACTCTCTGATAATTTAAGAGCTCTTATCTGAGTGTGCATCAAGTCTGTTACTGGGGACATTTGTACTTTGGGCTTCAATACCTGTTGCCATAACCTCCAAAATTATTATTATTTTTTTAACTGTAAAGTCCAACTTAGCATGGACCCAACTCATAAGCATTCATTTTTATAGCAACTTTGGTGCAAATACTGACTTAAATTTTTGTTAGAATTTTGTTTTAGAACTGGAAATTTACCTTCTCTCATCCTTAGTGTTGGTTTTACACTGTTTTACATTCACCATCTGGCATGCATTTTGTTGCTTTAATTTTCCCATGGGCAGGGTTGGAATTGAATGATCTTAAAGGTCCTTTCCAACCCAAGCCATTCTGTGATTCTATGATACTAAGTTTGAAGCCTGGTCTTTATGTGAGAATATCATCACAGTACTGTGAAAAACATTGAAAGCAGATTTTATCTACTTGTGTTTCATAGCTGTTTTTAGCTATTCTGCGTATTTGGTATGAAGATATTTCAGTTCTGATATAGCAGTTACCTATCTCAAAAGAAAGACAGTGGTAAAAATAGGGACATTCCTTAGTCTGTTTACCTTATGGGGCTGAAAAAAACCCTCAGTGGTAATAGACTTGCATGAGAAAAGTCTTAGGAACTGCATGTAACGAAATATGTTTTGAGATCATTTCCATTATTTGTAAAATTTAAGATGGAGACATCACTAATTAGCAATTAGTGAGTAAAGTATTGAATTTGGAAGCCGGTGCTTTCAAGCAGAGGACTAATCATAGTGCATTTACAGAACATGATTATTTTTTTTTAGTTTACTTTAGGCATGTTAAGTGGTGTTAGCAGCTAAAGTTCAGACATAGGAGTTGATTCATCATAAAACAATATATTTTAATATTCTAATGTATTATACTGAATTGTACAGTGACAAGCAGTGTTTTACAGACTTCTGCTTGATATGATAAAATCCTTCATGAGTGGCAAGGAAATACTACTGGTTTAGAAGAAGTTTATAATTTAGTTTGAAACCAGTATTTCATCCAGCTTTGACTGAAGTTATCACGTATATCATGCTGAAGTCAGATCTACTTGCAAACTTTCATTTTCCCAAATTCATTTCTGTTTGGAGAGCTGTGATTCCAGAACTAACAACTGAGAAAGAAACTCGGGTGGAGAGAGATAAATAATACTATCTGTCTGAGCAATGCAGTGATCTGTTTAAGAGCAGCTGATTTATTTTATGATGTTGAACAGAAGCTGAATGATAAATCTGGAATATCCTTCTGATGTATTTGGGCACAGTTAGCATAAGGTTTCATACTTAACAATACATAAATATTACCTTGTTTTGCAGTTTGGACCATAAATCTTACAGTTCATGGAATGTACTTAACATCATATGTAAACCTGTGTGGTATTTGGAGTGGTTGACAAAGGAAGTATGTGTTTCTGTCATCAATGATATCTCTTTAGCCTTTTAATTCAGCTGCAATTAAAATATACATTCTTGTGTCTATATGAAGTGTAAAACTGCATTTCAATCCTTATTCATTATTCATTTTAATGGATTCAGACTTCTACATGATCATTCATTTATTCATACATTATTCATTCACCCATTCTCAGATTTCATATAATTCACTTAAAATCCTTGTATCTGAAATGGAGCCTTCTGTGAGGAAAGAAGCAGATTTCAAATTCAGTTGTGTGCACACATCTGTCACACGTTTGTGTAGTTTTTTATCTGTATCTTTAAAGGCTTATAGCACATCTTTTTCCTAAACCACAAAAGCAGCCTTCAGATATTGCTTACTAATTTTGTGTCATATAAACCAAATCTTTCCACAAGCATATGTTTTCCACTTTTTGAGATATTGTAAAAATTGTATGTGTTCTGGCAGATGGGCAGTATTGTAGAGATGTAAATATAAGCTGGATGAGAAAGAGAACCAGCTCCTCAGGAAAAAAAAAAATATATATATATATATACACACACACATATATTTTCATAACACATTAAAGCTAGTGAATGAGTGCTGAATAACTTAGATTATTTAATATATATTAATTAAATACCATTTATACTAGTTAAGAAGTTGTCCTAGTATGTTGGATAGAGAGCATCACAGACAAAAGCATTTGAAAATGATCCTATTTGATTCTAGTCAGGTAGGTGCTGTTGAACTTTTTTCCCCATTCCTTGAACAGGTGGTATTATACTGAATTATATTACTATCATAATATAAATCACTCTGCTGTGATTCCATTGTTCTCAGTACTCAACAATGACAAAATTTAAAAGATGATTTGTGGCACCAGTTGTCCAGCCTGGTTCATTTCTAGCACTGCCCTTTAAATTGTCATCGGTAGTGTTTTGTTTCCGTCTGCAGGGAATGCCAGCTGCTGTTAGGGAAGTGTTAAGTGATCAAGTCAAATGTAACAAATGAAGAAGTTTTTCTTGTGCACAAGTTTCCAAAGGAGGACTTTTAAATATTTGCCATAGCACTGGTGTGTGGAATAATCTTCTTTCCAGCCCACAGTTTTGTATCATTGCCTCATAAGAATATCTTGAAATAACATGCTGGATTTTGAAAATGTTTTCTTTGACAAATTAGAAAAACAAAGCAATAAACAAACCTTGATCTGGGTGGGATTGGCTGTTTTGTACAATCCAAACCAAAACTGTGATTTGTAGAATGCTTCACAGAAGTTTTTGGTTTTATGTGATTTCTGTTTGGTGTTGCTAGAGTATAATGTAGATGTCTGAATGCTTGTGAACTGCTGGATTGTGAGGTTAGATGGGACATGCTGAAGTTATCAGCTTCTCAGTAAAAAGCATGGCATTGAAAATACCTCAAATTCATTTTATTTTTCTCACCTACTTGCAAAGAATGTAAAAGACATACACACAAAAATAATATTAGTACAGAATATTGACTACTGAAAACTGAAACAAGAAATGGGTATTTTTGGATGTAGCTTAAGATACAAATCATCTACGTTTGTTTATTGTTTTTAAGAGCACTTAGAAGCAGCTGGAGCACCAACTCCAGATTTTGGCCATTATTTTTGCTTTTCACTGAAGAGCTCTGACTCCATTGTTCAAAAGTGACAACTTAGTTTTTAGCATTTAGGTTTACTGTATTTCCAGTATGATCTCTGAGCTAAGTTCTGTTCTGAAATCAAATGTTTGTTAGCCATTTGCTTGCTTATTATTTAATGTCATACCCAAGTATTTTTCAAGATTGACTCTTTAGACTAACAGTAATGTTGAAAGGCAGTGTCTTTTAAGATGGAGACTTGTTTCTACGTTCTGCTTATAAGATGATTTCTTTACTTTTTTGTTGTAATCATCTAACTCTCATTTCTTAGAGATATGTCCTGATGATAGCTGTCTTTCCTTTGTGTTCAAGGATGTTCCAGATGATGTAATGGAGATTTGGAGAAAATCATATGAGCACGAACATACCATAAGCATTGTTTATTGCAAATCACATTTTGAATTTAGCTGTATCTGTGGGATAATAGAATTTGGGTGATACACGGTCACTCTTGAGAAATTTCTTAGCAATTAAATATTCAGAGAAAAATCCTGGGCATCATTCTCCTCTAAAGCAAACCATGAAATAAATAAATAAAAATATGTAATTCTGATAAACGTGAATGGAATAAAAGGTAGCATGAATGGAAAGCTAATAAGGTTTTAATGACTTGAGATGCAGAAAAACAGATGCAGGGGCAATTTCACTGGCCATGAATGTCAGTGGTAGAGAATGGAGGGCTCATCAATCACATTGCATTTGATTGTGTGTTTGTAAATGCAGAGTTTGCCTTCCACTCGTGGATTTTTTTTTGTGTAGGTCCCATTAGATGTGTGGCAGCAACATAGTTACTGAGTCAGAGCATTTCAATTTGATTCTCTTTGATGTTTACTCAGTCTAGTTTTAATTCTGTCTGAAATCCATTATTAACAGGGTCTTGATTTAGAGTTTAAGGTTGTTTACAAAAGAGGATTTTTAGTTATTTGCTTAAAGAATAGTAGGTTGAATTTTACTGGTCAGTATCAACTGACACATGCCAGTTTGAAACTAAATGCAGTCTTTCCATACATTTTATATTATTTTTGCTAAGTGGAAGGATATATTTTTGTCTTGCTATTTAGTCAGTGACACAGGTAAGCAGAGAGTTATTTGTACTCTTTTACTTTTGTTACATTAAATATTAATATAGACCCTGTATTTCAGGTTAATATTTAATCTTAAAGTTATCTGTACCTAAAATGAAGCCTTATCACATTGAAATATCTCACCTAAATGCAGTATTTTTTTTTTTATCATTGTAAATACAATAATAGCCTGAAATGTAATGCTATAAGCACTTTTTAAAGCAATATATTTTGTGATAACAGCTTTGATTTCTTTGCTGTTTTAATCCAGCTTGTTAATTTCAGAGTAGTAAAATCATGAGTGTGCATGTAAAGTTTTAGGTTAATCTTGTTATCTTTTGTCTGTCATTTTCTTTTAGGCCAATTATGAATTGCTACTTGAGAAAGACTGTCAGATACACAATTTGGAAAATAAACTTGGAGAATATATTGCTTCTTTAGAGTTTCAAAAGAGTGTTAAAAAATGCAAAATGCTGGAGCTCTATGCAGCAATCATAAATGTGCAAGCTTTGCTCTTGGAAAACCTGAGCATGTCAAAAACCCTGTCAAAATCGGAATGTATTCAGATTTTAAAAGCTAATAATCCGGTAAGTAATGAAGTTGTGAAAAGGAAAGTTCCTGCTAGGAGACAGCAGCTGCCATCGTGGCTTATTGGACTTCAGTTTAGCTGTGCTCGTTTGCATCTGTTGATGGTCTGTTCTTGAATTTCTGTGTTTATTTGCAGTCTAGTGCTCTAAGTAAAACAAATAAAGGAAAGTGTAAGAGCCAGAGAAGATGATATATTATGATTATTTATTTTTATGATAGTGATGTACCTAGACCTACAATCAGAAAGAGGAGTATTTTGATAACTAATTAATGTTAAAATTTTGTTGTTCACAAGGAAGGCAATGGGGAAATGATAGTGAATCATGACTCACTAGTGTGTAATCAGTGTATAATTTGTCAGGAACATGCTACAAAATTTTGCACATTGTAATTGTAACCATACAGTAAAATCCATAGGTACATGTTATATTTAAATCATGGAGCTCTTAAAATGCCTGGGAAGGTTATGGAACAGATATTCTTGGGAGCCTTCATGGACCAGTTAAAGGTCAGCCAGGGGATCAGGCCCAGTCAGCATGGGTTTACGAATGGTAGATCCTGTCTGACAAACCTGATTTCATTCTATGACAAGGTGACCCGCTTAGTGGATGAGGGTAAGGCTATCGATGTGATCTACCTGGACTTCATTAAAACCTTTGACACTGTCCCCCACAATATTCTCGTGGAGAAGCTGGCTGCCCACGGTTTGGATGAGCGTATGCTCTGCTGTGTGAAACACTGCTTGGATGGCTGGGCCCAAAGAGTTGTGGTCAATGGAGTTAAAATCCAGTTGGCTGCCGGTCTCGAGCAGTGTTCTCCAGGGCTCAGTACTGGGGCCACTTCTATTTAACATTTTTATTAATTATCTTGATGAGGGGATTGAGTGCACACTCAGTAAGTTTGCAGACAACACCAAGCTGGGAGGGAGTGTTGATCTGCCTGAGGGGAGAAGGACACTACAAAGGGACCTGGGTAGACTGGATTGATGGGCCAAGGTTAACTATATCAGTTTCAATAGGGCCAAGTGTCGGGTCCTGCATTTTGGTCACAGCAACCCCAGGCAACCCTACAGTCTTGGGGAGGAGTGACGGGAAAGCTGCCTGATGGAAAGGGACCTTGGTGTACTGATGGACAGTCAGCTGAAGAGCCAGCAGTGTGTTCAGGTGGCCAAGAAGGCCAATGGCATCCTGGCTTGTAATAGGAGTGGGGTTGTGAGCAGGACTAGGGAAGTAATCCTGCCCCTGTACTTGGCATTGGTGAGACCTCACCTTGAGTACTGTGTTCAGTTTTGGGCACCTCAGTACAGAAGGGGCATTGAGGTGATGGAGCAGGTCCAAAGAAGGGCAACAAGGCTTGTGAAGGGCCTGGAGAACTTGGCCTATGAGGAGAGACTGAAGGAACTGGGGCTGTTTAGTCTGGGGAAGAAAAGGCTGAGGGGAGACCTTATTGCTCTCTTCCAATGTCTGAAAGGTGCTCACGGTGAGAGCGGGGTTGGTCTCTTCTCACTGGTGACAGGTGACAGGACGAGGGGAAATGGCCTCATGTTGCGCCAGGGTGAGTTTAGGTTGGATATCAGGAAAGACTTCTTTACAGAAAGGGTTGTTAAGCACTGGAATAGGCTCCCCAGGGAGGTGGTTGAGGCACCATCCCTGGATGTGTTTAAAAACCATTTGGATGTGGTGCTCAGGGACATGATTTAGTGGAGGGTGGTTAGAGTTAGGGTAGTATGGTTAGGTCATGGTTGGACTTGATGATCTTCAAGGTCTTTTCCAACCTGAGCTATTCTATGATTCTATGTATCACCTGTTTATTCTACTTTGAGCATGCTCACATGCCTTATGTATGTAGTAGAAGCTTCAGACAGACTTTTTCCCTTCATTGTATTTGCCGCATAGTTAATATATGACCATTTTTTAAATCCCTGTTTAATATTTCAGTGCTCAGTATTCATAAGGAAATATTTTTTTATGTCTGCTATTTGTGACCATTCAAGTGAGGCTTGGGAGAGCACTGGAGTAGAACAAACAAAACATTTTTTTAAAAGCAAAATCTTTTTGCTATAGGGCATCATTAGAAAGCTATTGCTGTGAAAACTCCTGCTTAAATTTTAATGCTCTCATCTCTGTAGAGTTTCTCTTAAAACAGCAGTTAGTATGTTTATGTCATTCTGGACTTTTTTTAAAAAAAAATTTGTATTAAATCTGTAGGAAATGGGGAAAGTTCTATGTGGACAGAGTATTAAAATAATTTAATCTGGGATTATTACCTTTTATGCAAGAAGTGTAAGACGTCCCAGAGAAGAGATTGGACTTTGTCCTATCCTCTGCAAAGAGATTACCTTTAGCTTCTCTGTCCTTGAACAGATGTAGAAAAAATATTGGAGAGAGAAATGAGATGTAGAGTAGCAATGGATTCTTTATCCAACATGGAAGAACTGAGCCTAGAAAAATATTTTAGTTGGAGAAAAAAAAATACTTTTGACATTGACAATTTATAGAAAAAAATCTCCTGGTGATCAAACCTTTATATCTTGCTGTGTTTTATTTCTGCTCCTTTATCCCACCAGCTGGCAAATTTTAACTGTCATTTTAAAATAAGTATATCAGATTACAGAGGATTCCCATATACTGTATTAGTGATCATTTTGCCAATCAATGAAACAGGCATGCTTGGCTATTTGTGAATATGCTTCATCTCCTCAGAGAGAGCGAGTTTTATTCATTTTTGCTGTTAGGAGAGTAAATCTGAGCTCCAAGCATCAAATCTTGCTGACTGAGGGGCAGACACTTAGAGATGCCATGCTCCAATGAATTTCTAATATCAATACAGCTGATGAGGTGGGGGAGCAAATGGAAAAAGTACTGAATTTTTATCTAAGATACAGGTTGGGCAGTAGGGTGCTGAGATATTTATTAAGCAGCTTTTTTGAGGTCAGACAAAAATGACCTTTGAAGACTGGAATATGATCCCTTCCTTTTGGAGTCAAGTTTGATTATTTGACCAAGGAGAGATAGTTGGCATGAGAGATCCAGTCCACTTTAAACTTAGGTTTTAACGAAAGGCTTTAACCACTCAATTTTTAGAGCACTGTATTTTAAGTCTAATTTTATTACTTTAAGTATGAATTACTCTCTTTGAACTTTATTTCTCTTTAATACTAGTGATTAATGCAATATAACTGAAACTAGTCTTGCTCAGTTTTACACACTATTTCAGTAGCTTTATGCAGCTCATAAATTAATTATAATGGCACCATTCTTTTACTAAATCTCAGATTTCTGTATTGTACTTTCTAGATGTCCTCTATAGCGAAAGGTTTCAGAGAACATCAGCAGCAGAAACTGTCTTGTATTTCTAGCACTGTTCTGATATTCATAGTGTGCAAGTCATATTTACTGAAGACCTTGAAAAGTGTAATGACTGCAGGTGGTTGAGTAGAATGACAAAATAAATAAACAAATAACACAAATTGATATCATCTTTTTTCTTCATTCCAAATGGAATTTGTTCTTCCAAGATAAATCACAACTTTTTATCACTATGCCTGTTCAACCTCTAGGAGATTGAAGAACTTGACAGGAAGCTGGAGTATGAAATGTTGCATAAGGAGTCAGTGCAGCAGCAGCAACATCTAACGAGTAAGCAGAGGTGGACACCAGATGGATTGAGACCTACAAATGAACCTGTAGAAACAGATGTAGACAGACAGGTGACATTTCTGCTAAGACAGGCCATGAATAGATGTATGCAGTTCATAAACTTGCACCAGCAGAGGTGAGTGCTGTGGTCTTGGATATTGCTAACTCACTGCAGTCATTATAGACTTTAAGATACCGCACAGTAACAGCAAAGTGTTCTGCATTGTTGAGGAGGGGCTGTGTTTAATTGTGTTTAAACAGTGCCTTTTTTGTGATGCAGCCGAATGTAACAAAGAAGTCTCAGGGACACTGAAATAAGAAACATGGAATAATAATTTGGTTGCATTTGGATTTTGATGTGTTATAAGACTATTTCTTGATGGCGCCAATGGAAACCTAGCAATAGCAGCAAGGGGGGAAAGAATTCTAATCCTGTTACTTCATTTCCCGAGGTAATAGGTAGGGACTTCAATGAAACCTGCTCTGTTGGAATCAGAGGAAGTAGCCAAGACAATAAAATTAAATTTCCATCTGCACTGTCACACTGTAGAATGAATTCTCCATGGTACAGTCATCTTTGAGGTCATATATAAAGACTTCCTCCAAGATATGCTTGTTTTCCCTGACCAGTTTTTAAGTAAAAATATCAGTGGGGAAAAAAAATCCCAAACAGTCATGCCTCCTGGGAGGAATTTAAAAATATCTGTCTTGTCATTGAGGTCATCTAGCAAAAAGATAATGTGCAGAATTATGAAATACTGTATTATCTTTATTAGGGTTTAGGGAGTTAGAAATAACATTTTGTGTATATTGCACGGTATTAAATGCCTACCAGATGTTTTACATTAGAAAGAGGGGTTTCTGTTGTACCAGTTGATTTATTAAAAGGTTTTTGATAGACTTTGAGCAGTCTACAGTTACACTCCGCTCTAACTCTGAAAGGGTACTTGATGTAGATTAAGAATGCTCCTATTGTAGAGTTACTAGAAGACAAAATAGGTACCTGGCTTGGGAATACCATGGGATACAGGTATGTTAGACATACTTTCAAAGAAACAGTAACTAATCTTTCCTATATACCTGTAAACATAATGGAAGAAGTGAATATTGTATTTTTCTCACATGGCATTATAACTGCTTCATAATTTGATCTAGAATGAAAAAATCATCAGTAATGAGAAAGCTAACAGTTTGTTGTTATTTCAGCACCAAAAAGATCCAGAATGTATTGAAAAGTGTGGAGATGAAATTTGAGATGATAGGAGGACAGATTGAATCATAGTCTTTTGGAGTGATTTCAGATTTGTATTTTGTGCAAGACTCTGCTCTGATTTTGTGTTGTGATTCAGGGGAGAAGGGAAGGGGAGAAGCGTGTTTATTTTAGATGTTATGCTGTTCAACCAGCGTAGCTGATAAGAGTCACGCTTCCTGAATGGATAACTTTCAGTTATTGTTTCCTGTAATACATTCATTGTTCCAGGCAAGATTTCTATGTTAATTCTGTCTTTCACTTCAGCTTGAGAGATGAGCAGTGGAATTGTACGGTGCTTGAAGATCTCTTGGAAAATATAGAAATGGATGCATTTTCAGCACTTTATAGTCAGGTAAGCGTGAAATCAAAACGAAGGTTCCAAGTTTAGATTATAGCCGTATCTGGAAACTTTTCTTCTTTTTTGGGAGCCATTGCAGATGTACTTGGACCGAGTTCTGTAATAGTCACTGCCAGTTCTGGTGTTTGCAGCTTACATTACAAATCAGTTCATTCTGACCTACTTTCAGCTTTTTTAATTTTAGTGAGTTGTAATACTTTTTGTTCACTTACAAATCCTTTCCGGCAGTTGTCCTGCTGCATCGTGTTCCACTAAACTAAAGAGAGAACTAAATTGCATGAGTTTATGTTTTACAGACAGGCCTACAGTCTGATTTTCATGTGTTAAGACAGGGATTTTGTTTAGTTCGCAATCTGTGAGAAATGATTTGCACTGATTGTGTTACAGAACTAAATTACAGAGGCACTGCTAGTTAAATTTTCTAGTATCCTTACTTGTATTGTTTTCAGAAAGAATATCACCTTTTTGTTGGATATAATTTATTATCTGTTGTCTGCCTGTCAGGTCCACACAAGGCATTAGAAATGAATCAGTTATCCCAAATATTATCTGCAGATCTTGGTTGAGATAAAAAGGTAGCATCAGAATACTGTAGGTGGTATAGCTTTTAGCATCCAGGTGTTTTGCCACTCAAGGGCACCTGCAGCCACATGTATAAGAAAGCGTGAATTTCAGATGTCAGCAAGCTAAGGAGAAACAGGCTGCTTAGTCTAAGAGAGTGTCAGGTTTTACAGTGTTTCAGATTTGTTTCTATTCAGGATTATGTACCCCTTATCCTTTCTTGAGTTAGATGGCTATTTGAGATCAGCTTAAAGTAAGGCTACTGTATATTACATATGCATCTCCTGTGTATTACATCTGAGATTCACTGGAAAGGTAGCGCCTGTTTTCTGATCTTTACTCTGATTTTGGTTAGAAACTTGCGTCAAGGTCTCCTAAAACTCATAGGAGTGTGATAATTGCTTAGTTCTGTCTCTCATGGGGTCATTTGGCCTCTGTTCAAAGCAGATTCATTGCACGAGCCTTGCTGGAAGAGATTTGAGTCATCTGGTTGCATGATGGCTCCAGTGCTGTCCTGGAGTGGAGTGTCTCACTTTGTACTAAAGAACTAAATGAGAGAAAATGCCAGAATTCAAACCTAGTCTAATATTTTCCATGTTTCCTATTCTGTAGACATAATAATAGAAGCACCAAAAATTCATTCTGACACATCTTGCAGGGGGTAGCATTTGAAAGTGTTTCAAAAAAGTTGTGATCAGCATTACCATTACTATTACATATTATCATTTTCCTCTTTGATTTTTCTCTTGCAATCCTTCTCTTCCTCTTCTCAGTAGAGTATGGAACAGTGACATGCACAGTGACAGCTATAAGGCTTTCCAGAGGTAATGCTAAGTTGAGGTTTTGTTTGCACATTTGTGATTGCAGCTTGTCTAGCAAGTTAAAATCTCAGAACACTTTTCTAGCTGAAGAGGGATAAAGCTGTTGTGTTCAATATTTCTATTTTTTTTTCTTTTTTTTTTGTAGAATACGTGAGGAGTTAAGAGGCTTATGTGGCTATTTTGTTGAACCATATGATGCTTCAGATACTTGCTGAGTATGATAAATACAAGTTTTAGATAAAATAAACTTTTTTCATTTCAGTAAAAAATAGACATGAGAACACAGACAAAAATTGAAAATGCTTTGCTGATGTTTCCCTGTAGTACTGTGGTTTAAGTCATTGGTCTTGGTGGACCAGTCACGTGAATTAGTTTTATTCTTTTTTGCTAGCTCGTATATTTATCTGAGACATTCTGCATCCAGAAATGCTTACCAGCATACAGGTTTTAAATAGCACAGACCAACTTTGCCAGAAAAGCACTACCAAGACCATTATTATAGCATAATTTCAGTGTTTTTTTAATCTGCTTTTGCCTTATGTTTTTTGACTAATCGAAGGAATGGCTGGGACCTTGCACAGTGTTTGTTTAGCTATTTCATGGCCTGGTGAAAACCCTTATAAACACTATGTGCAAACTCTTAAGTAGACAGCATGAATACTGCATTATTTTCATGCTCTTGTCCTTAGTTTGCCATACATGTGAGTATGGAAGGGTAGAAGTTGCATGCTGCAAGCCAGCTGCTTAGCAGAAGAGTTCTTATCTTGCAAAGGATGTTATGAAATGTGTATCTACTGTTCTTGAGTATAGCTGTGCCTGATAGAGCCTCAGCATTTACCTCTCTTATGAAGTCGTTAATTCAGGATGTGTGGCATGTTAAGATCAGCTGAATGCTGAAGCAACTGTGTATGACTTGGTGGAAGATGTGAGAAACAAACCCAGTGGCTGAGTGCTACTGCTCCTGATGGTGAATCATTTCAAGAGAAATCCTTTCACAGGAGACCTTGGGTCTTTTCTTAGCATTTATGTTCAAAGATTCCATCATATGTGGAGAGCTCCTTCACATACATGAGCACAATTCTACTCTCAGCAATTACCATAATATAGTAACTCCAACTATAATTCCAAACTGTAAAAAATTACATGCTCAGTAGGGTAGCAATTTATTAATTTATTAATTACATTGATAATAAGAATTGATTCAAAATCTTTTTTCTTGTCAAGTTACAATTTATAGACACATTATAATGGCAAACATTGAGAAAATATAGCTGCTGTACTTCTGTATCTTGCATTCATTCTTTTCTTTATAGAGGATTTAGACTATTTTTCATATCTGTGGATGTATCCTTCTCTGGAAAACGAGATATGTTTTATTTTTCAATCTTTAATCCCGCAGCTTATGTGCCAATGGAGATGGATCTGGGTCATTAAGAGATTTGCTTGAATGATAGTGAGTTCAGGAATGTAAGCCTCTGGCTGAGAAGTTACTTCTAAATAAGCATGTAGCTGTAGCCCCAGGTACAGTAGTTGGTTTTTTGAGACAACAGACGATGGAGGCAGACTGTTGTTGAAAACAGCACAGTAAGCTTGAAACACAGCATAAGTCAAATTCATTGATTCTTTCATATAGGGGTTTAAATACATGTTGCTTAGACCAAATACTTAATTCTGCTGTTTGTAAATCAGAATTTATACATCCCTATTCTCACTTTGGCCAAATTCAGAGAATACAAATGAGGTTGTTGGTGGCACAAGTAGCCATTAGCGTTACAAAAGATGCAAAAGCCTGATCTTTACAGTACCTTGCCATATAATGCGCCTGTAGATGGAAACTCATCCCACACTAGTGTGACCTTTCCTGTATTTGAATACACATTCAATTCTCCTTCCCACATAGGCAGGTTGATCTGGGTAGCTCATAGATCAGTACTCCCTTTGCAAGACCTGTGCTGGGTGCACCTGGCTGATGCTACTTGCAGTACTGTTGACAGCATTGTAGCAGTTTGGAGGATGAATTAATCATGAATTATGCTGTGTTAGAAGAGAACTAAGCAGTAGTACTAAGTACAAACCATTCTTGTTGAAGAAAAGTAATGGTCAGAGGGGAGGAAGGAATATTTTAAGAAAGAAATTGTAATAGGGAAGAGCAGTAATGAAGTCATGATGGTTTGATCATCTGCATATAGATTACTGAGACCATTCAGTCAAAGGGAAGGGTGGATCATAGAAATGTGTCATTTTTATGTTTTTTGTAAGAACAACAGTTTTTAAAGACAGAAAAGATCTGTATAAATTGACTTGCAAAGTTAAACGTACATGTCTGTATTAAGATTTAAACTCTTCTTTATATTTTCCCCATAGAGGCATCAAATCACTTCTTACTCTAAGAAGTGTGAACTGATGTCTCTTTTACCTAACTACAGTGACTGTTAAGTTTTAGGATGAAAATACTGGGTATTTCAAATAGCCCATCAGTTTTACTAACCTATCATCAGTCTTAGCACTTTGTCTCATTCATTCTCATATCTCCATGGAAAATATACACCATGGAAAATATACATCAATACTAGAGAGTCCAGGATACTTTGAGGAGTGACTGGCTCTCTTGTATTTTGGAGAGGAATTCTCTGCTTGGCAATGGGAAAAGGAGATTGATTGATTTTTGTCATTGTAAGTGGCCTTTTAAAATTTGGATTAGTGATGCTTGGGGAGTTGTTTTTGCATGGATTTTGCAGAAAGAATTGTCTTTTACAGAGCGTCCTTTTGGTGAAATAGTTTATTTCAAAAAAGATTGACATAATGCTCTGAGAGTTGCTCATGTGAAAAAAGAACATGAACATGAGATTTGAGATTGTGACCACTTGACACCAAAGCTGACAATGCAAAAATTATTTTCAGTAATATTTAGTTTCTGTGATGAACAATTCTTTAATGTTAGCAGTTAAAAATCAATTACAAATTTTTTCTTTTTTTTTTAAATTTCAATATTATATATCTCTCTATTTCACCCATTAATCTTCCAGGAGCTCCAACTAGCAGGTTATTTAGCCAGACTGACAAGGGTACCAATGGGGATGTTGCACAGGATTCTGAACTTGTTGCTGCCCTCTAGTACACAAAGTGAGATTCTTTCTATCCTTGATTCCATTGGTGTATATTCAGATGCTGCTGAAAGTGATAGTAATGCAGACGAGTCTGGTAGCTGTAAAAAAAGGTAAGTGGGATTTTTTTTGGTAGACCATTGCAAAAGATTATTGTTTTCTGTAAATATTGATTTCCTGTACAAGCAAATAACAATAGAAAAATTGCAGGTGCATATTTTGTGAAATTCTTATATGGGGAAATAGTGTTTTGAAACTGGTTCATTATTTCATGAAACAAAATAAATTAATTGATGAGAAGTTCATACATGTTACAATTCATAAATAAAGCAGTGGTTTTATAGATTTATAAACCTTGCTCTGATCATTTTCTTTCTGTTAAGTTTGTTAGAATAATAAAATCTTATCTCCCAGCTCTGTGCCTTGACATAGGAGAGAGAAAGAAGGAGATGTGTTACAGGACCCCTCTAGTTGTTGGATGTATGTTGTCAAGGAACAACCAAGGGTCCTTGAGGTGTGATCTTCTGTGATTTAAATCATTTTTGTAAAAATATAATTATATTCATGCTATTAATGTCATGGACTTTGTGGTTATAATAAGAAGAGGGAAGAAATTGTGTATGTTTAGGAATTTGCTGCTGGGAATATTTCTTTCATTCTCTTTCAGGAGGAACCAAGAATGGCAAGCACTGGAGTGCAAAGTAAGGGAAGATCTGATAAGCAAAAGTTTGGAAAGGATCCTTTCTTTAAACAGGAGAAAAGACAGGTAAGGGAAGAACAGAAGGAAATATATGATTATTTATTTCATCTCCAAAGATGCTTACTTTTATATCAGAAAACAAGTTCTTAAGTATGCATTTTCTGATGTTCTTCAGCTGTTTGGTGCTTGTTTCCTACAGCATATTTACACATAATGTGCAATTATATTGGAAGTCTAAAAAGATTTAACACATTTATTTGCAAAATTTACACATTTATCATACAATTTGCCCACCTCCCTATGTTACTTATTATAAGGTTAACTTTTCTTATGTGACTTTATATCTCATAAAATGATTTGTAAATTATAGTAGATTGGAATGGAAATTACACTTTGGTCTGTCTGAAATACGATTATCTTAATTTTCAGTGGAAAGTCACTAGTGTGTCATGCAGTGATAGAGAAAGTGATCTATTTTTCTGCCAGGTTTTTATTTATTTCTTTATTTCATTAACGTAGCTTGATAAAGAAGAAGCAAGTTGCCCTTCTGGAAAGGCCATCATTCATTCACCTTGAAAGTTTGCCTATGCGTCCTCCTGTGGAACAGCCCAGTCCACGTGTTTCTTTTAACAGTGTGGCAGCTGAAGCCATAGAGGTATTAGACACAGGGGAGAAGATATTTTTGTTTCGTGACCGGAATGATCCAACACTTTCTTTTCATAATTATCCAAGAAAAAAGAAAAAGAACTTTCTTAATTCCAAAAAGGCTGCTCGTGCAAGTTTAAAGTGATGAGGGAGAGTTCCAGTTGGAGAATCAACTGGTGAAGAGTAAGTTATTTAAAAATCAGAAAAATAATGAGAAATAGTGAAGTATGCAGTTTGATTAGCACTTGGGTTGCCTTAATAGCATTTTTCTGACATTGTAAATGGCTGTAGTTTTATACTGGCACACTTCACAGTGAGCATTATGCATTTTATACTTCTTGACAGTGCAACAGGCGGAATATATTGGGTGTTTTGTGATATGCATTCTGACAGACAGGACTCTGTGTTTCTTCAGTACATTTTGGTCATTTTTGCACTGATTTTTACTGTAGCTCTATCTTTATAATTTATATCAATTTATTTATTATATAAAGCAGGTACTGATTTGCTGTTTGTGTATTTATATATTCTTGTAACAAGCTGTGGTTCAGCAGATGACATGCAGAGATAAAACTCGCAAGTCTTCTGCTCTCTGTTTTTCTGTTTTTCTTGCTAATTTACTCTATAATCTTGTGCTGTTAATGAGCTTTGAATGTTATAGCTACTCTCTGTATTCTCTGGTGATAACTGGTAGTTTAGGTCTTCAGCATACTCTCTTAGTTTTATGTCCAGGAGTAGTTTAACATTTCACTATTGTTTATAAGCTAATTCAGTAGAGCAAAGAATGTTGCTTCAGTTGGAAACATAAAGTTTAAATTTTAAATATTTGTAACCTGTTGCAGTCATTTTCATGGAGAAACAATACCATATATGTCAGTAGAAATGGGAAAATGGCAAATGCAGCTGTATTCGCTTCACAAGCTTTTTTCTATTACAGCACTGCCAGTTCTCACAATTTTAGGTGGCTATTTTTGAAGTTCTTATTCCCAAATTTCTCTAAACTGATGTCAATATTACTTTACATTTCAGAAAAGAGTCAATTTTCAAACTTTTCTAGTTGGCAGAAAGTCTGTAAATATGAATCCTAAAAACAGTAACAGGAAAAGGTAAATTAAAATAAATGAATATGTTTGTTAATATTTCATTATATTCTAGCCTGCTTTGTGCTCTTTTTTTAAAACTATGTAATGCTCTGATGGTACTGTGATTGTGTACTTTGCAGTTTTTCAAGTGTGGAGTTTCTGTGCCTTTGTATTAATAGGATGCCAATTTAATTTTAAAAATAAAAATGTTACTTTGTATGCATGTCTGCAGTTGGCATGTGTTCCCATTGGAAAAAAACCTTTTTTTCCCCACTTCCCTTAACGTGTTTAAATATTCATCCCACGGTAAACAACAATTAGTGTTTCTTATTGCTACTAACATTAGAAAATGTTCTGTGCAGTAATTAGGCTAATAATCCTAATTATTTTCTGATTGCATTCTTCAGTCTCTTCAAAGAAGTTGTCACTTGCACAGAAAGAGGAGTGTCAGAGCTGCTGTGTTTTAATGCATCTGATACGTCCTCCCCAGGGCATTGGTAGGTTAAGGTAGAGTGTCCTAACTTGAGACAGGTCAGAGCTGCTTCTGCAGGAGGCTCAGATGTTTCAAAAAGGAATTTGGAACAGCCATGTCTCAAGCAGCCCCTGTGCAAGAAAAAGCAATAGGAAAAACTGAGCTGTTCTCAGGGCTGCAGGGGCCCTTGAAAGCTGAAGTATCCTCTCTTGAATTAAAGTCTCTCCCAAGATATCTTCCCAAGCCTGGATTCCAGGCTATTATTATATGAAAAGAGAAACAAGAAAGCTGGTCGCAGATAAGATGTTGTTACCATGCAAAATCTGACTATTGATTGCTGTATTGATTTATTATCCTTAACAACTAATCTGCATATCTGACAGTGGAAGGATAATTTGCAACTCCTACTCATTACAAATTTGAAGCAGCAAATTGGAACAGTCGAGAAATGTCTGAATCAGATCCATATCATGCTGTATCCAAAGGAATGTGCAAACTTTAAAATCTCTTGCACCCTACGAAATGGGTACTACATAGCTAACAGCCAGCTTCAATAAAGATTGGATTATGTTCAGTTTTGAGTCATTCAAAGGACAGAGGGGGCCAGTTGGTGTGTGTGTTAGAATCCGTATTCCATAGCAGACACCTTGCAAGAAATATCTGCTGGACAATTACAGAATCACAGAATTGGCCCAGGTTGGTAGGGACCTCAAGGAGGAAAGGGCGTGTGATCTGTGACAGCCAGCACAGCTTCACCAGAGGAAGGTCATGCTTGACCAATCTGGTGGCCTTTTATGATGGAGTGACAGCATCAGTGGACAAGGGAAAGGTGACCGATGTCATTTACCTGGACTTGAGCAAGGCCTTTAACATGGTCCCCCACCCTTATCTCCAAATTGGAGGGATGTGGATTTGATGGGTGGACCACTCGATGGATAAAAAACTGGTTGAAAGGCTGCAGACAGAGGGTGGTCATCAATGGCTCTATGTCCAGGTGAGGCTGGTAACGAGCGGCGTCCCCCAGG